TATATGTATAAATGTGGATAACTACCGAATCCGAAGCGCTGTCCACCCAGCTGTCAGGCGCCCTTCAAGTAGTAGTTCTCTACTACTACAGCAGAGAACTACTAAACCACCCCTATTGGTGATTTTGGCCTCTACCACCTTCTTACTTAAATTGTCCCAACTGTCTACCACTCTGTAAAAAGAATACTTTCAAATATTTCTGCGGCACCATTGTTTCCTTAGCTTGAATTTATGATCTCTTGTTCTTGAGTGTGTTGGTTTTAGGAATTTCTCTTTGTCAATTTAGTTGATTCCTGTTTTTTATTTTGTAAGTGGTGACCATATAGCTTGTTTTCTTCTGTCTTCTAGTTTTGGCATATTTAGCACTTTTAGCATCTTTTCTTAACTCTTTGTTTTTACAAATACAAATATTTATTCAGGTAAAGTACATACATACAAGGTGAGATACAAAAAGTTGATGGATTTATAGAGCTAGTACATACAATGCCTAAAGCCACTATTACGCAAAGCGTTTTCAGTTCTGGAAGCCATTTTGGAGCATACTTTTGTACCTTTTCCAGTTTATTGATGTGCTTCTTGATATATGAGCACCATACATACATGTGTGTGTGTACTCGCCAAACTGTGCCTGCAGGGGCTTAGCTTCAGGTCTTTGGTCCCGCCTCTCATCCGTCAATCAACTGGTTTATAGATTCCTGAGCCTACTGTGTTCTATCTACATTTGAAACTATGAAGTCTGCCTCCACCACATCACTGCCTATTGCACTTCATTTGTTAACGACACCATGTACGAGGGGACACAGGTTGATCCCACCTTTCTAACCAATCTATTTTTCTCCATTATGTCTCCTACATAAATTTGTCTCTTAACACATGCACATGCGGGCACACACACACACACACACACACACACACACACACACACACACACACACACACACACACACACACACACACACACACACACACACACACACAAACTGCCTTTAGAAACTTGTGTAAGGAATCATACAGGACCTTGTATATAACTTGTCAGACCAATCCTCGAGTATACAGCTCCAGCTTGGAGTCCATACCTAGTAAAACACAAGACAGTTCGAGAAGATTCAGTGGTATGCCATCAGACTATGGTGGATTAGACTAAAATAGATTAGAAAGACAGGATCCAAGAGCTAATAGCTCGATTCTGCAGATACAAATAGTAAATACTCACACATACACACACATATCCCCAGGAAGCACCCCATAGCAACTGTCTAACTCCCAGATACCTATTTACTGCTAGGGCAACACACACATCATATGTGAAAAAAATCCAAACATCTTGTCCTTACCTAGGAATCAAACCTGGGACCAATTGGTTGCAGGTTGACTGTGCTGACCACTAATTTGACTGTTGTACCACACATATATAAGAAACACTTGTAACAAACTTGCACAAAGAGATGAGAACTTCTGGCAAATGCACAAATATGCAGATGACAAAAGAACAAGGGTTTAAGTATGAGAATTACTAAAAGACAAAAGCATGAAGAAGCAAATAGTAAATGGATAATGTGGAGGTTCAATAAATGTGGCAAGCCACAAAATAGTACTAGTGTGACAAAAAAAAAACTTCCATAGGTGACAATGGACAGCAAATCTGCTGCCTCCAGTACCTGTAGTGTATTATTCATGGCTTTTATTGTTTGATTAATTTATTTATTATAAATATCTTAGAAAATGTAGGCAATCAAAGAAGTCTATCATCACAATTTTATTAAGAAGAAAATTTCTTACATTCATTTGCGCCATGAAGCATGTTTTGGAGCAAAGTAGAGAAGGAACATGAAAGTGTAATGAGAAACAATTATCACAAGATAAAGAAATGACCTGCATACACGCTTAAAGTATTGAGACAAAACATAAACTATAAAGATCACTAAACAAAGACAAAAAAAGACAGACAAAGACTACCTACAGCCTTTGAAAGGAAATTAAATTAGCACTGTCCAATCTGGACAAATAAGAAAAGAGCTTGTGAACATGGAGTAATGTAGCTCATGAAGGTATAGAGAACTATACAGTAATGAAGACTTGAGAAGTGTGCAAAGGACACAGCATGGGAGGAAGCAAGCTGTGCATAGGTAAGTACTTGTAGCAGATTTCTCACTTTCAGCAACTGTATAAGGAAAAAATAGTTCAGATTGAAAAGCAAATTAAAAACTAGCAGAATATTCTGCATTACAAAGATGGTGTGGTCCTTTTGATGCAAAGGGAACTGGCATTGCTATACAAGTATACAGAGGCATGGAATGGGTGTATGTTCAACTGGAAAGATTACATGATTCTTAACATAGATGAAATGAAGACAACTTGTCCATGGGCAATAGTGAAGGACACTAAAAAATGAAATCATATCTTCATATCTGATAATCATTCTCTTAACAACTTCAAAATAGAAATATTAACAGAATGAATAAACCAATATAAGATTGTTAACAACATGTTAAAGAAGCACATGTGTCCCATGAACAAGCTTGACGGTGGTGCTACAACTTAAGGCCTGACTATTTTCACAATTGACATTTTCACAAGTGCCATTTGACCATCTTAGTAGCACCACATGATACAGTCAAAAGATGATATTCACAATGTTATACAGTTTCACTGTAGTGTAATGGAATTAAGGATACAGAGTTAAATTGGATCAACATTCCAATACACTGGCCATATACAAAAGGTACACAAATCAAAACGTTGCCTGGGGTACAGCAGTATCGAAAATTCTTTTCGCACATCACAATACTGATACGTTCGGTGTACAGCTTTGTTCTTTGTTGCAACTAGCTCAAGTCAAAAAACACTCTTGCTAGGTATGTTAACATGTGATGTAGCTAGAAAATAACTGAAGAATCCATCTCAATGCCAAATTAGCAATGGTAAGGATATAACAATACAATATGCTTCAGCTTTATACTGTATTACACACACAAACTGATAATCTTATTACTGGTAAGTTGACACTACAGAGGATCATAAGTAAGCTTAATAACCAAGAATGAAATAACTTTTTAATAAACACCTTAGGAAAGCAAAGGAAATCCCTGAAATGCTACCTATTAGCTAGTTAATTTAACCAGTAATCATTCCTCAATCAATAAAGAGGTTCATTCCTTATGTACTTGTCACTTCCTATGCAGGACAACATTACACTAAACCAGTGCTTGCAGCACAAAATACAATAATAATAATAATAATTGAACAATCTCCCTTCAGGTGGCAGTTTATGCATTTTACATAAATCTACTCAAGTTATATAATTTTCATTAAGAGTTGTTGCTCCTGCTATAAATGCATTATTTGTAAAAGATACAGCATTATCCACACCATTTCACTGGTGGCGAGTATTATGAGCAAAGCTATGTTCACATACAATATGGAATACAGTACACTCACCTTCTACAAGGTGTTGAGTTGTGAACCATTCAAAGGTAAAATTTTCTTTTCAAATCAATTTAAAAACAAAGAATTTTTAAACATCAACTTTTTAATGGAGACCATGTACCAAATAAAATAAAATGAAAATACTGTACATACAATAAACCATGATATAATTTGTAACACACATTTGTATCATTAAATACATTTATCCAGGAACTGAGATTGTATTAAAACTGAAGTAAACATTAAATTTACACAATAATGAACCTATTTAAACCTATGAATTTGAACTGGGAATGGTGCTTTAACATGCTAAACTGCTTGGCCAAGGGCTAACTAAGTATGTCCTTTACTCAAATTTATTGATATTGAATAAAATATACTGAATGCACTTGGTGCTTGGATTTGAGTTTATGTTTATGATGTTAGTTTGTTGTTAGAAGTGTAGACACGTCCTCATGGCGTTCCAACTTCCACGTAAGTTCACGGTACTCTACAATGGTTTTGGCACCCAGTGCCCCCCCTCTTAAAAAATATTCAAATTCCTGTTTTTTTTCTGCACCATTTTAAATACATTTTGCACTCCTGGCAGCCTGATTTTGAGTCCTCTGAGAGGTCAGAGATAAAGGTGATATATGTGCTGGGGAATCATTCAACCTTTGCACACATTTTTATATATATATATATATATATATATATATATATATATATATATATATATATATATATATATATATATATATATATATATATATATATATATATATATATATATATATATATATATATATATATATATATATATATATATATATAAAATTTATTTCTACATTTATATTATTATATGCATGCAACCAAGCTTTGCCAGTGCTAACACAATAAATTTATAATAAAAAAGCACAAAGCTGTGTTTAAGATTAAATAATAAGTATTAGTTTTAAGTAAAAAAAAAAATACACAGTTAAAGATATAAAATATTTATATACTTTGCCCTTAACATCTGCTTAAGAAATGACTAGCCAACAGTACCATTAATAAACAAAAACAGCTGTACTGCAAGAAATAATATACGTAATTAGGCAAATTTGGATCCGGGATAGGTATTTTGTAGCGAATTCGTGCTTAAAACTGAAAAGCAAATGCCAATATTAATGCATGCAAGGCAAGGATCTCATGCTTGTTCATTTAATCATAGAGCTGAATGTTAGATCGCAAGAAAGCTTGCAAATACATTTGAATACCTCACAATTAGGTAAATGGTATTCCCCCTTACAGATAAACACTGTGAAAAAGCTGGCAAAACAATGTTATATTTCTTAGATGAAGAACTAGCTTTTCTTCTATTTTCATAAAGAAATACAGAAATGAAGTACCCCATCATTTAAGACAATTTGCATCTCTGCATTCACTGTAAACTTTTAATATTTTTTACAATTTAATCTATCTCAAATACTTGCCATAAATAAAATATTTTAACATGAAAATCATCATAAAAAATACAACTGACTCCAACAAAATTAAATATGGATTTACAAGTTAGAATATGGTTACTAGAACCTTCAAAGACATAAAACTAAATTGTGCGATAACAAACCTCAAAAGGGTTAAGTAGATATGTATCTATATTGAACAAAAAATATATTTGAAGCAAAACACGAATAAAGATATATTTAATCAAGCTGGTATATGAGCCCCATTACATGTAATTATCTTGTTACAGTAGTTCCCTCCTTCAGCACCTTAAATGAGTATTGAGGATAAGCTATGATTTACTTTTTTTTTTTTTTTTTGGACACAGAGAACACAATACTTTTACAATATGTGATATTAGAGTAAACTCCTCTTCAAAGCCCAGACTAACTATTCAAAATACGTCATTCTTCACACCTGAATTCTTAAACAACTTGTACTCTAAACTGCGCCATCTTCCAAGTAACACATTCTGTTGCATGACAAAACCCTGGAAAATATCTCACACACACACACACACACAATGTGGAAAAAAAAAAGTAGTAATAGTAGTAGTAGAAGAAACAGTTGTAGACAGTTGTAGCAGAAACAGTAGTAGACAGTTGAGAGGCAGGCCAACAGAGCAGAGCTCAACCCCCGCAAACACAACTAGGTGAATACAACTAGGTGAATACACACACACACACACACACACACACACACACACACACACACACACACACTTCTTCCCCACAGGTATATATGTGTGGGATATATGTGGATGTACAATAAAGCAATAGTTCCTTAGACAACCAATTTGCATGATAAATACATAATTACTATGTTTCACATCATCAACTGTGTTGTATACTTGTATTCTTATGATGCGTAAGTACTGTAGTAAGACCTGTATTCTTACATTCCTGTTACAGTTTCAAGTTTTGTATTTCATAAACATTTGCTAGCCCATTATCAGCTATCTCATAATTCCTATATTTATCTCCAACTCTTTTCTAATAAACAATCATTAATTATGAAGAACTACTTTTCAGTCATAACTGTACAGATGCTTAAAGGCTAACAAATGGACTTTAATACCAAAATCAAATTTACATACAGATACACAACATTTAAACCATAATATGGTACAAAATATGTACCGCACTGTACTGTTACATTATTATTCCCATGTAAATGGCAACTTATATGCAGTCATCAGTTTGATGATACATTCATTTATAATTACCAGACTTACTAGCCAACATTATATGAGCCCTTTTGGAAGTCAGGTCTTCTGATGTTAGGGTCAGACAATTCTAAGACCATGTGTAAAGGCTTAAAGTGAGATTTAAAATACCTTTAAGATTTAGTAAGAATCAGTAAAACCTAGTTCCAGCATTTTCCTGCGCGGTAGTTTTATTTATACATGAGACTGTATCCAACTGAAATTTTAAACTTGGATCATATATTAATATAAAACAATTTGACTTCCATGACGAACTGGGCAAAACACACACTGTGAAATGGGTTAAAACAATTGTGACAAATTTTAAAAAACAAAAATAAACACAAGAACTTGATCTATACAAAGACACAGTAATATGACTGATTAAAACACCCAGCAGATATATCCAAGTGTTACAATAATCCCTGAAGTTAATTTACTATACTTACGATAAATATGTATGCAACTCCTGACAGGTATAACCCATAGCTTCAAGTCTCACATTTAAATCAATAAAAATTCAGCATTGAATAAACTCTAAAATACTGGTACTCCAACATTCCTCCACATTTTGTTAATTTATGTTATATTGTACACAAGAATAACAGTTCCTCATTGATACCATTGTGTGACGTGGTTGTTTTTTTCCAGTAAAATGTGTGCAAAGTCATTATTACAGTATATGGTAAACTCTTTGTTGTACGTAGAAATACAGTATAGGATTGTTTAAAGGAGCTGTGTATTATCTTGTTTATGATCTTATGAGAAAATCATGACCAAAAATTCAGCATTAAGCAAAAATAGAGTAAATCATAAGGTTTATTACCATAATAGAAAGCACATTCAGATGAATGTAATGTTTTTAATATAACATTTTAAGAACACAAAACTGCATTACAACACAAAATTTAATTTAGATCATCTCTATTCTTATTGGTTGTTATGAATGCAGCTCAATTGGGTTAAAATTTCCTATACAGTATTCCAAATTTAAGTATTGACAAAATTTGCATAAAACTGTCACTTACTACGTTAAACAATTAAAAAACTCAAGATTTTTATTTTGCATAGAACTAGTTTGCTTTTAAATCCCGTAATCCAGAGCAGTCTACTATATATCTGTTTGGCAGACCCAGTACCTCTCACAATGCCTCATATGATACCTGAACCACACCCCCGTCATCAACATCTATCCAAATTACGAAACTCCTCAATCTCTACTCATCCAATTTACTCTTAAATTTTCCATTGCGTACCCATAACTTTTTTCAAAGAAAATGTACACATCCACTGCATGTCATTACCTTGCACACACCACCAAACCTAAATTGAAGTACACTACTTATGGGGTCAGACATACATTTTAACATTTTTGTATTGCCCATTCCGTGCATATCTACTTTTTCTCTCTTGATTGGTGCCTCTTTCTTTTCCTGTATTTCTTCTATCTACTCACTTTTCCTAACATCTGCACATTAACAAGCAGTGGATATTATAATTCTCCAATCAAAAAGTCAGGATATGAAAAACAATAAACACTGTGTGTATGTATCCATGTAAATTTATATCTATATACAATGGTACCTCAGCTTACGAATTTAATCCGTTCCCAGAGACGGTTCGTAAGCCGAATATTCTTGAATTGAAGCGAATTTCCCCATAAGAAATAATGTAAATTGAATTAATCCATTCCAGACTCCCCAAGAAAATAACTTCAAAGTAAATTTTATACCTAATTTACCCAAATCTTCAGTACTAATGTACAAGTTATTACTTACCTTTGCTGACGACTCTTGTTGGTGTATGGAAGACGGTGAGGAGGGGGGAGGAGGAGAGGTATTAATGTTTGGAAGGGGAGTCCCCCTTCCATTATAACATCAGGCAGTGATAACCTCTCTGGGGTACACACACTGGCACATTTTGCCTGCATACCACTAGGACCTCTTGTGGCTCACTGCTTGTTTTTCTCACTAAAAACCTGTCTAGCGACACTTGTCTGAAGTGAGACATCACATTGTCATTAAAAAGGTTAACACAACGGTCTGCTACAGCTTGATTTGGGTAACAATTTTCAGCAAAACTTTGCAATTCTTCCCATACTGCACACATTTTCTTAATAAATGAGGAAGGGACATCCTCTACTCTACATCAACAACCCTCATATAATTTTCATGTTTACGAATGATCTCGTTTTTCCTCTACGGTCATTCTCACATGTGTTTTCTTGGCTTGAACATTACCACTGGCTTTCTTGGGACCCATGGCGAGATATATAATAACTTTTTTTGTTCAAATACCCCAAAATCCAAAAAAACTAGTTCTTTACAAAAAATTCAGGCGCGATTGTTACTAGGCAGGAGGCACTGGAAACTGAGGAGCGATCGCCATGCCACCACGCACTAGGTCGGCCATACGAGTATCAATGAACTTCATTTCCCGAGGCAAAGCTCGTAACCCAATTCAGATTTTGCTAAGAAATTGGGCTCGTAATCCGAAAAGTTCGTAAATAGGGGCATTAGTAAGCCGAGGCCTCTATAGTATGTATGTCATACCTAATAGCTAGAATCACACTAATAGGCTTAGTACAGAAGGCCATTATGCTTATACCCAGAGTTTTTGTTTTTCTTCTTATACTGTATCTCTATATAAAGTAATCCACATTTAATGAACTTAACATTGGTTCTATTACTTACATTGTTTCTTGCATCATTTTCCTATAATGTTGAAGTTCAGTTATCCAGTTGATGGAACTGTACGAAGTCATTTATGTTAATGGTTTCCAACCTTGGTGTACAATGCCTGTTTTCTTAATCAGCTGCTCTGACAAAGCAGTGTCTATTTCGGGGTTGGTGGTTCCTCACTACCCTTGGATTAATTTGGAAAAAAGATAACGTTTCTTCAAAATGCCAGCAACAGTTGTTAATATACTGCAAAAGACTTTGAGAAATGTTTCTGTATGGAATAGTGTTATTGATACACTTTAAATTCTGCTATGATGTTCAAAGAAAGGAACTAGATACAATTGTAATAGCAAACCACAAACAAAATTCCTTATTGATGGTTATGGATCTTAAAAACAAACTTTGAAATTGTGTGCAAATACCCATGCTGATGACACGATATTAACCATTACCTTATGGCAATATTTACTGACAGTTACCCACATTTATAAAATAATAATACACTTTTGTTGACCTTAAAAGTGACAAAAAGTTATATGAAAAGAACAAGGGATAATAGTACTGAAAGTTTCCATCACAGTGATAGTCTAGCATATTCATAGTCATTCTTTGAAGGCAAATTTTTATGATATCCATTGACTTACCCAGGAAAGTTCCCCTCATTAAAATTTTTAAAAGCCTTTCTTTTGTGCTCCTAATTCAGAATTTTATGTCATGGTGTCCTGAAGAAAACTTAATTTGCCCTTGTTTATGCAGGGATTATATCTGCATAAAATCATATAAATCTCAACAAATCTACTTTAAAATGTGGCGGCGAGTTCACAGGCAACGCACGGTGTGCAGCAGGTCTAAAGTACAGTGGCGCCTCGATTAACAAATATAAACGGCTCGGTGCCGTTCTGGCACCGAGCTCGTCATGTGAAATGCTCGTCTTGCAAAAACACCAACAATGTCATCGGAGGCGTCCGAGAACCAGCGAGAACGCTAGGAAGCACCATGTGGTTTGCCTGTTAATCGAGCGAAAGCTCGTCAATCAAGACAAATTTTCTGTGAGTGGTTCGCTCGTAACTAGAGTCGCTTGTCACTCGAGGTTCCACTGTACAGAAAAGTGAGACTTATATGTTCCTGTGCAAATATTCCTTTAGAGCATTCTATTGCGAACAATTTAATAACAAATTGAACGAGTAGCGTGAAAATTAAGGTCACAAAGTGGAAAAATAGTATAATCATATGTATTTATGTGGTGGGGAGTTCACGCTCAACACTCCGCCTACCTTGAGGTGCGAGGGGGAAGGGGCGGCCCCTGTGCTGGGCATGCAATAGTGTTAATGTGGGAGACCAACTGTCAAGAATGAAGTAGACATGCAAATAAGCACAGCTAATCCATTTTCAACCTGCATAGTATCAAAATCCACCCTCGCATTGCAAAATTGGGTATTCAAATGGTTTCCTTTATCCCATCATATCTGTATTCTCCAAAACCACACAAAACATTGTACAGTACATTTTAAGTACTGGAATGTATTCTCTATATTAAAAATGACAAAATTGTACCATTTAAGTTTTTGTTTACCAACTTACATACAATACTGACAAATTTTACTACTGTACTTTGTTTAAAAACATCACCCATTATCGTTATATTTGTAATACAGAACATCCGAATTATTTCAAGTGGCTCATCTGAGCTTGAGAGACATCCATTGATGGCACAGGTGACCGACTCCATGCCTGACTGCCGTAAACTGCCTTCTACATTGAAATATGCCTGATAGTGCATACTGCAATTGCACCCTTTTTTTATATGCTCAAATGCATACCCTTAGGTTTAGAGGTTACTTCAATTAATATCTAAGTCCATTGTTCAACTACAATAGAGCAAATAACATATTTCTTCTGTATATAATGTCCTCTTCTGTGAATTCTGTGGCAGGTCTATAAATTTATTTAAATTCAAACCCAAAAGCATAGGTCAACAAGCCACCAGTTTTTATACTAGTTTACTAGTTAGTAATAAGAGTACATTTTGAAAATTTTATTTTTACAATCTTGGCATTACATTTATGTAAAGATTAAGAGGATAATAGAAGCTCAAATAACCATAATTAAGGAATGTGATACTGAAAAGTGAAAGTTTAATTCACTGACCCTAATACCTAAATGAAAGGAAGAATAACTTGATTCAATTTACTTTTCTTTACTTCTTTTATTGCATATTATACATTTCTGTACTCTTTTGAGGCTTAATATACTTGTTCTGCACCATTTAGTTGGGAAGGGAATAGTATTGGTAAACAGGATATTTTAAAGGGATATTCTGTACGACACACATGCATGAATGTTTTTGTACAAGTGGACAAACACTAACTCATTAGAATGAAATCAAGACAATATGAGGGCTATTATCAGCAAGTAAGTTATTTCCTACTTCAGAGTTTTTGGTAAGCAATTATGGAGAATCACAAATTTTTATGTTTGATCAAGAATGGGGACAGACCATTGTAACAATGTATTAAAACACTAACCACAATCAAATTTTAGCCAATGGATGATCAGCTTAAATGTAATGTCTTCCTGGATAGAAAGAATTGTTATAATCTATTCTTATAGAAAAGTGCAATACCGAATGTAATTCCATGGTCTTTAGTCGGAGCAATCCATTCTTACAATATTTATAAAAAAAAATATATCTTTGAAATTAGCTGTGAATAGTGTACCACAGTGTTTCAGTATTTTAGTTTCAATTATCTGACATATTACTAGATTTATTCTAACATCAGGTGTGAAGTCTTCAGAAAGCGAAAAATACCAGTACACTTATTTGTTTCAACATAAATACATCATACAATGGCAGAAAGTAATGTACTTTAATTGGCTATGTCTACAGCAAGCAAAATTAATGATTTATTATTTAATTCCTGCATACATAAGCAGCTCCATAATACACAGTTCACAGTTCCCAAAATACTGTGTAACTTCATTCACGCTAGTCTGAGGTTTTACTTAATATCACATATGAGTTATTAATGTAGATGGCCAAATGTCACAACAAAATAATAATGGGACAGTCACCAGCAAAGAGAAAATTCTATATATATATATATTAATAATAAAAAGGGCTTCATCTTTGGAAATAAAACTTAACATAACCCAGAAATTTATACATAACAGTTAATCATGTCTGTATTGACAAGAGTAGGGTAACAGGATATCACATAAATGAAGCATATACAAGAAAGGAACTATTTTACAAACTCTGCGTATTAAGAAATGACAACTTTCCATAACAATGTAGCTTCCAGATTTTCCAATGTAAACCTGCTGAGGAAAACAAAATTGGAAATCATACAGATGTTGAAAACCATACTAATAATAATTACATGGCCACAAAGGTGTACACATTTTTCAGCAAGTCAAGCACATGCCAACTTTTTATAAAAGCTCGCCACATATCACCAACTACATGCCATGTAAAGTTACACCCAAAAAAAATAAAATAAAAAATAAATAAAAAAAAGTACTGATTCCATATAAACTCTGTCGCATAGAATTATTTCTTCCAATATGACTACAGCACAAAATAAAAACAATGATTTGGTCCATATTGTCTTTTTGTTTCACTTGGGATAAACAAAACACACACAATCAAGTGTTTCACCTGCTACCATAGCATTTCATAATAAAATAAAAAGGATTCATACTGAGTCTAATCATGACTTGTACTGACTAATAAGCATTTAGTCTCAATAGATCCTCCAGTAGAGTGCTACTACTTTTAGTCCTAGCATACGGGAATATACTCAATACTCTCATCTTGTTCGTAACCGCTTAAAAAAAAAAAAAAAGCCCGCATAATGAAGCTGGAAATTGTTTTGTTTTTTTACAGTTTTATGCACTAGTTTCATCCCATTCATCACTATCAGACTCGCTATCAGAAGAAGATTCACTATCACTAACTTCAAAGGCAAATCTTCTCTGTAGGATGGATGCAACATCAATACTGTCTGGGTCTTCCTTCGGTTTTGTCTTAACGTCATCCACCCTTGGACGCAGCTGAATACCTGGAATTATTGTCTTTATTGAGATCTTCAATAAACATCTCTCAATAAATATTTGCAAAATCACTTTTGCAAGACTAGATATAGTACATAAAAAGACAAGGAAGTTTTAGGTATTATAATGGTGTAGAAATTTATATTAAAAACATACAGATACTTTTCAGTAAATAAATGCATGAGAATAGTAAGAGAAAATGAACAGAACAGCATCACAAAAGAATTAAAAAGCAACATATACAGTAATAAAAAATAGACGAGGCCTTCTAGACGGTGTGTCAGATATACGTGAAATATCAAGTTAGTAGACAAGACGCTGATCATTTGAGTCATCCAAAGGTCAGCAAGTGTCCCTAAACAAGGGCAGCAATGTGAAAGTAGAGCTGGGAATCAGAGCTGAAGCAGTCACATAAAAGCAAAAAAAGTGCCTCACAGAACTCTTCAACTTTGCCGTCACAGGAAGAGGCATCCTGACAAGAGGAGAGTGCATGTCTGTCACGGTTTCTACAGCCACCAAGTTTGTGGTTCAAAGCCAAGGCAAACAGGTACTGTACATCTGAGGCCAAAAAAAAATATCTTGCAAAACCAATGAAAGGTTATTAGTAAACACCGTCAACACATGGAAAATATTGATGGTTATCAGCAAACACCAACACATGAAAATACTGATGGTTATCAGCAAACACCATCAACACACAAAATTAAACTATTCAACATGGAGAACGAAACCTGAGAATGCTTTTTTTTTTTAAAGAAACTGTACCTATTTTGAAAAATCCTTTTTTACCCATCCCTCAATATACAAAAAATGTGTAGCCATTTAGCATGAAGCCTAAAAATACAGTTATATAATACAGTACTATGTAACACCCAAACAAATTTGTACGCTATTCTATAAGATTTTAAAATACTGACCAGAGTCCAATATATAATAATACCATTTACTGACTGCACAGTATATATACGTAATGATCATGAAATTCCAACTTTAATTATAGAACATCTAAAACAACGAAAATTGATAATACATGTACAGAAGAACCATACATACACATCAAGTTGGGTATCAGAATACGTATCTAACTGTTTCTGCAGGACAAGGGTTACCGCAGTCGGCTCACAAATGATTGGTCCTGTGGGCTTGATAAGGCAATGCAAGGCATTTGAGCATTTTCTTACAGCCAATAACCTTCAGTTCTTCAAAAATATGTTGGTTGCCTCCATGAGGAGTGTCAGTAGTTTGCATAGGTACCTTAATAATCCAAACATCCTCAACATTAGGAGACTAAAATTTCCCAGAGCATTGATTGCACAGAGACAACTGGGAAGATCCATCACCAGGGCACGTGTACTGAAATTTAGGTGTGACTATTTTTTGTTTTCAAGAGTCATTATGTCCTCTTTTACTAACTATGCACTAAAATGTTCATAAAACCTGGCAGCAGAGATCAACATGGCCCAATACCAAAAATGTCCTTCTTTGCACCACAGAAAGAGTTGAATGTTTCAGGCAGCTATGTTTTTCACATATAGCACGAGTATGCACAAGATGAATATATTGTAAACAAAAAATGCCTACCAGGACTACTGAATAGAAAACAATATTAAAATTTTACTTTACGCTGAACTATATCGCTTTTCATTCTAGGACAATTTTCTCAAGTTGGGTGCAAGCAGATGACAAACAACAACTGGCACATCTGATGGAAATGACGTTAAAATGCCAAGAACAATTCACAAAATTCAGCTACATTTAATTACGACCAAAATAATGCATTAACTTAACAAGATGAAAAGTACAGTATTAGAAAAAGAAGTACAGATAAATAATGCACAAATAAGATAACTAACTCCAAATTTTAAGGACTGTAAACAATGCTTAAAAATCACAGAAAAATTATAAGTAAATCCAATAAAATTATATGTATAACAAACAAACAAAAATAAAAATAGTACAGTATTAAAACAAAATAAAATAGAAAGTAAATAAAATAAGATGAAGTGTATAAATACCATCATCGTAATGTGAATCTCAGTATTCAGAATAACAAGATATAATTTTAACATGTGATCAATTATTACTGTAGTATTTTCCTGTTATCTTACCTTCTCTAATGGCTTTGAGCAATTCACTACGGCCGTCAACTTCAACCGGTGGAAGTGCTTTCTTCTCCACTTTCTTGGGCTTTGCTAGAACAGTTTGCTGCTGCAAGAAAAAAAAGAAGAGATATATTACGTTATAGTGTATAATCAAAAGGTCACCGAATTTGATTGTCTGTGGAGTTTTCCATCCACGCGTTCCTCCACCTTACCAGTAACTTGTAATGAGCTAAAAGGACAGGCTAGACAAATATCAGGAACACTTAACATGTGAACATACACCTACCAAATGACATATCAATAAACATAGTTCACTGAACACCAGAAACTAAATTTCAAGCATAAAACAAAAATCATAATTTACAAAAATCATAATTTATTTCTATCAAATACCTAAAATATACTATGGAAAACATATTATATTAATTTTCTTACCTGCTTTATAACCCCATTTATCATCAGTGGTGGCATGGGTGGTGGTGGAGGTGCTCCAGGTGCATTGCCATTAGGGACCAGTGGTGGGGGCGAGGGAGGTGGTGGACCTCCAACGATTTGTCCTGGTGGCTGTATAGGAGCTACTGGGGGTGGGGGTGGTGGTGATGGAGGTGGTGGATCAGGCTCTCCTGTCTTGTCTGGTGTGGGTGGTGGTGGAGGAAGGTCCTGCTCGTGGTGGTAGGGTGGGTGTGCATGTCGCCCGGGTAAAGGGGACATTGATGCGCCTTGCGGGATTCCATCCACTATAACCTGTTGCTTTGAATGACATTATGTGATGAAATATACAGCTTGCAACAGTCAACCAAAGCATATTAGATCATTTGATTATCAATAATATCTATGACATTCTTCAAGTGTCCTTTAAAATAAATGGAGTGGATTAAGAGTAGGACCTGCAGAAATTCAAGTACTGTACTGGTATATCCTTAATAAATGTCAGTCAATAAAATATTCACTGCTGAAGCATAGGGTGTCAATATAAAAACTTCACAGAGCTTAAAATCACAAGATTTAAGATAAATTAACTCGTGTCACTTGAACAAAAAATAAACATATGTAGACTAGGTATACAGAATGTATGTTTACTGTAAATTAAATGAGTTAATTTATTTGTCATTTTTTGTGTAAACAACACTGATTTGAATCTATACAAATTGAATGTGGACACCCTGAACTTTAAGAGATGATCTAGTGTACATAATCAACGTATATAACAAAAAATTTAAATAGATTTAATAATTTAACTTGGGATATCTAGCCATAATTGTGTTTGGTTTATAATAAAGATAAATAGTAAAAGGTTAAGTGGTTCAGAACACAAGAGCAAATTCAGATAGAATATATGAAAAGGCACAGAAATAGTTGTAATTATACTGTATAAGCATGATGGCTGAACCTAAAGTGTCTTTAACGTGCAAGAAAGTTACCTGTCGATCAGCAGGTGGTGGTGGTGGTGGAGGTAGAGATTCGCGTCCCTGGGAAGGCCCACGTAAACGAGTTGGAGTACCACTATGGGAGCCACCTGGTGGGGTTGGTGTATTGCTGTTACTAGGCGGATCTGGAGGAGGCTGCATAGGCCGATTAGATGGAGCACGCTGACCTGAACTACGACTAGGAGTACTACCTGCAGGGCAAATTTAAAGCTTTAGTTGAAAAGTTCAGATCAAAGTAAGGCAAAATAAGATCATGTATTTATGTAAGCTGTTACACTAATATGGTTATTATTATTGTTATACAACAATTAGTTAGAAAAGAAAGGTAATAATTTCTGTTGTTTATAGTTTAGGTAATTATTGCATGGTTTCTAATAGCTATTGCCATCCTTTATGGCATGTGCTATTACATCTCATGAAAACAGGAAAAGCAGTATTGAAATGATGCTCATATATCTTTACTATTTAACTAATATTTAGTAGACATGTCAAAATATTCTCACCCTGTGATACTGCCCCATCAGGAGTGTAAGGAGGTGGGGGGTATCCTGAGTACTGGTCTTGATAGGGAGGTGGATAACCTTGGTGGTCCGACCCAGGCACAGCCTGATTCATCTCGTGTGATGGAGAATAAGCGTGTGGATGGGAATTTGTGCCATACATTAGTTCCTGCTTGAAAAGACAATATGTATTAGACAAAAATTATACATTATCTTCTTATAAATCAAATATAAACAAGTAACACAGCGCAGATACTGCACAGCTAGTGATCAGATACAGAAGATGAGTCACAATGTGGTTGAAGATTAGGCACCCATCACAATCTGCAAATGAGAAATTTACAAACATTTCAGTCCAACCTGGACCATTATTACGACGACTTCATAATGGTCAAGGACTAACCAAAACGTCGATCAAGTTTTATATGTATAAAAAAAAAAAAAAATGTACAGCCTTCCAAATTTGGTTCTTAATACTGATGTCTAAGCCTTCACTACATTATTGATATACTACATACAGAGAGATGTACTTCATTTCAAGAAATATATCCATGGAGAGGTGTACCACTGTTATCGATGTATATACAGTACCATGTACACCATGGGCTTACTCTAGTCTTAGACTATGTTCAGGACTAAAGTATACTTGCTGGTTGGTCAGTAAACTCTGGTTGGTCAGTAAACTATTGAGGTGACCTTATAATAATCCCCAGCTAATTGATAGGCTTTTTTTTTTTAACCCAGATATGTAGAGGAATAGATGCCTTCTGGCTCCTATTACAATGGCTTTAGAGCTCTTCCTTTGGCTTTTGTGTTGGGTTTGAAGCCTGGCAACTTATGGGAAGATTATTAAGGACACCATAACAGCGAACCAACCAGCAAGAATACTTTAGTCCTGAACACAGGGCACAAACAAGGAAACTCATCATACACACACCCCCGAGAAGAGGCGTACATCTCAATCTCGGTGTATGTATTCCTGCTGTTGCCTTTTCTTCCTTTCCACAGCTTACTCAACTAGTTTTCTATGGAACAGCCAGCAATTGGTTTACAACCTTTATAACACATACAATCATCTGTCCATCTGGATTCCTTAAATATTCGTCATAAATGTTAATATTGGTTTGACTTAAGATACAGTCAAACTACTTGAACAAAAGCTCAAAATCACACTGCAGGTATCACCTAAAATGTAACACACACACACACCAGCATTTGAACCATTAGTCACAAGTAAAACTCAATATATATATTAATAACAGCTGATTTAACTCAAAACACTAATGCAAATCAACACACTAATGTTTTAATGTTTACATAAAAATGGAAACCACATATTCCACCAATCAGCTCCTATGGGCCAATATGCTTTCTGCAGTTACCTTCATTCTTATATAAAGTGCAGTCAAATCACACTATAGAAAAAAAAAGCAATATAAAAGATTTGAGAATCATCATGTTGGAAGTCCTTACTTTTATAGAACACAATGGAGTAGCTGTCACAACTTCAATAAAAATGACAGGTTGAATAACATGAACTTTTTAAACGAACTGTCGGGCCAATGATGATACTTTTACAGACACGAGTGCCTCTCTAAGGTGGAATACTGTCACACACTAACAGTCACATTCAAAGCTGGAGAAATTAATGACCTGGGGAACATGCAATACCAGAATCCACTCAATAAACATCTCAATTATTGGTACCACTTACAAAAATTTAATCTCTAGAGCACAGGCAAGAGTGATACATAATAATTTAAACTTAGAAAACAATAGAGGGACTGGTTTCAAATCTGCAAAAGGAAATAACTGCACATGAGACCCAGGAGGTATTGCAGGAAAAGCAAAATAGCCTTGTTGAAAGGCAGAGGTGCAATAAGTACGTTGAGAAAATTGTCAGCATTAAGGGTCCACACTTTTCAACACTCTCCCTTCTACACTCATGGGTCATAACTAGCCGAGTTCCCACAGTATTCAAGAGAAAGAACTTGATAAAAATACCCAAGGCATACCTGATCAACCAAGCCCATTCTCTTGATTTACCACAATATACAAAATACAAAATGTTAACCTAACTAGAAATGTACAAACCCAAGCAACTCGCCTAGCCTAATCAACCTATTCATAGAAAACATGGATATTTATGAGCTTCTACTTTTCATAGTACCAGTACCGTGGTTTGTAATTTGTACATTGGGGACCATAACATACAAAATGAGAGACACCAGTTGAGAGGACAGGTTGATCAGTGTGTGTGATTCATAGATGCTGCTGCTTGCAGCTTAATGTAAGTCTGGTGACCAATCAGAGGCCTGGTCAAAGACTGAGCTGTGGAACACTGATCCCCAGAACAAACAACACATAGGCAGACCCAGGTTAAAAAAAAATAACCTTGACCTAAATTAATCAATTGGTAGATAAACCATTATTGCAATGTTACAACGCAGTATTGAGTAATTGGGTGGTAATTACAGTGTTAAGTGTGGTATAACCATTTATCATTCAGATGGGCTATCACATGTCCCACTGTTTTAATTAGTTTTGTATGAACCCAGTTTAAAGTAGAGAAACTCTGGGTATTAGTGTTAAGTTGTATTGAGGAAACCTGTTAATGAATTGACATGTTTCAACAAAGCCTTCTCCTGTAAGAGATATTCTGACACTTTCTATATCCAGTACCTAGGTGGCTTTAGAATGTGCACCACTGCTCTGGCAATCTATTTCTTGAATAACTTTTCCGAATGATCTGTCCTTTCCTGTCTTGTCATTGTAAGCAAAGGTAGTCCAAAAACAGTATAATACTGCAATACTGTAAAGCTAATGGTCAACTAGTAAAAACAAACAAAAAAATTAATTTTGTCAAAATGGAAACCAATGCTGTTATTGTTTCTGAAGAGTAAGAAAATATACTAGTGATGTCTAATATTTTGAGTATATCAAAATATTGAATAATTCTATGTAATAATGTATGCAAATACTTTAGTATAAAAGCATGACTCTGTCACATCTAGAAGAAAATATGTCATATATACACGTTATATGCGAACAAGCTTGAATGGTCCCACAAGTTGCATGCAATATGCAACTGAAAACTCCACACCCCAGAAGGATTCGAACCTAGACAGCCAGGAGCACTATGCACCATGGCGTACCTGGGAAAGAACCAGGTACGCTATGGTGCATAGTGTTCCTGGCTGTCTGGGTTCGAATCCTTCTGGGGTGTGGAGTTTTCAGTTACACGTTAAACATATGGTAACATATTATCCTGCAGTTCAACTTTTCTTAAGGAGAAATCTGAAGACTCCTAACTTACTAGAAGTCAGAGTAACACAGTTATATTGAAAAGAATTGATGTGGTCATCTTTCTAATTCTCCATAGTGTTTGAGCAGCATATGGGGATTCCAGTTTGACCAGTAAGTGGAAGTGTGAAGCTGTTCCGTAAATATAGTAAAACAAGGTAAGGGAGAGCTTGCCAAACAATGTCTTCAAAGTATGAGTAATCAAATGATAAATATCATGAATGAAAAATCAATACTAACTTCACAGATTCATGTAGTATTCATGGAAGTATTCATAGTGTGTACTATTTGAAAATGGTTTACTTAACATGGACTAAAAATGCATGGCAAAAACAACAAAAAAACAATGCATACCCCAGGTTGCACACTGCCGTAGTGACCACGAAGTTCTATGCTATTAGGCCGTAGTGGCCGTCCATCAACAGCATTTATTCCAACCGAATCATCATAAATCCCCTATTCAGAAAAACATCTAATTAGAAATTACAATGTAACTCCCATATACAAAAACTATTTAGAAAAATAAATTTACAACACATGGCAAATTTTAAGGAAAAAAAAAAAACTAAACCATGAAAACCTTAGTATTTTGTGAAAACAAAAATTGCAAACAAAATGATGTACTGTACTATATGTACTATATATACACCTGTATATATACTATATGTACTATATATATACACCTGTATAGCACAAACCTCATTAAGTTGGTTCATTGGTGTTCTATATTGAGGCTGTGGAGCAATATACTCTCCCTGTGCGATAGCCAGCTTTATTTGTCGTTCTCGGGTGTTGGAAGTCATTCTTGGCACCTTTTTACTCTTGTTCCTCCCGTCACCTTTGGGCTTACTTGGCTGTTAGCAAGAGAATTTTAAATCACTAAAACACATCCAAACAATGCTATTTTCTAAACATTGAGGAATACATTCAGTTCCTAATCAAATTAATCCAACTCATAAAAACACTTAAAATCTATAGGCACATATTTCTTTTACTAAAGGTACCTTAAATAATTTAAGCATTAATTATGGACAAAAAGAAATTATGAAGCTGATGCTATGAAATACGGACATCCTGGATATGAAAGCTTACATAATAAACTAATATTAATCCATTTAGGCAACAGGTCACACAGGTAACTCTTCACCAACAGCTCATGTTTTGAGAAAGGTGCATCAAGAATAGTGGTGGTTGAATTGTATTTGAACCAACGTATAACTTCCCATCAGTTGGTACACGCACACACAGACACTGGTCATGAAGCTTTATAAAAGAATTAAGTCTAGAGCAAGCAAATACCTGTAGAGACCTTACTGTGTATGGGTGTTTAACAACGTACATATATCCTTAGACATCAAATGCCAGGTCATCTGAGTATTTATTTTAAGCCGATGATGCTAATACTTTGATGGCTCCAGGTAGCATTAGCACACTTGACCTTTCAATACAATGAATCAAAATTCATACAAGACCATTACAGTCTGAGGATACATTAAGCTACAAATTCTTAATAGTAGCAAAGTTGGGTGTTGTGAGATCAAACCTCAAAGTATGACCAAGAGATATAAATGCACCAGGAGACTTTATAATGCTGTTCATGTTACAAATACTAAACATAACTCATATTCAAACTATTATCTATTTTAAGCCTTGAGACCTTCTTTCCTCTCTGGCAATTTCTCCTTATAATGAGATAGCTTGATGCACAAAGAAATCATATAAACATGATGCATCAATGAGAAACTTAGTAGAAGCCTTGATGTGGATTCAAACCCCCACACACTGTGTGCTGCCAAGCATATGCCCTAAACCACTCGGCCACGACGTGCTTAAAAGCAATGCAACCTGGGATTCAAATGACTCTTCTAGTGGGCCTAAGGCTTCCACTGAAGCCCAATCAGGATACTGCATGATACCCTGATTGCACTTCAGTAGAAGCCTCAGGACCCCTAAAGAATTTAGTTGAATCCTAGGTTGCATTGCTTGTGGAACATGTCATGGCCAAGGGGTTTAGATTGTATATGTTTGGGAGCACACACTGTGCAAGCTTGAATACTCAGATAATTTTATGTTAAGTTTTACCAGATGTTCCAAATGTTTTAAAGTAATCAAAATTGTTGAACAAATATTTGGAATATGCTAGTTTGGCAATGTTATAATATGCTTACACTGGGAAGAACATACTGTATAGTAGAAAGACTGAGGATTGCAAAACAACAGGAAAAGATGCAATGTAAAGATCCAATAAGGGCAAAAAATTTCCATTGAAAATTGTGAAAATGAGGAAGATTTAGACGATTCTTAAGTGTTGTTGCAATGCAAAACCAACAGAAGAAAAAAAGGTACCCAGTTCACCTTTGAACAAGTGTACTTCCCAACTGGGTTGGCCTCAACTAAGTTGAGGCCAACTGTCCTAATGTCTAATCACTTCTATTTGTTCACAGTAAAAACACAGAAAGCAACATATCTGGCATTTGAAATAAATCACAAATACTGTACAAGATTTGGCTCCTGAATAAGATCCGAGAAAAGCTACAGTGCCTTTTATATCTATGAATTATAAAAATATAGACCATAATTTGTATATTAAGAACAATTGAGGCATTCAATACGACAAAAACGCCAAGAAAGGCCAGAAAGTGACTGCCATAAAAGAACAACGTAAAAATGTAAACCAGTAACTGTTGTTTACAAGCATTATTATAAAGAAAAAAGTTGTGTATACAAAATCAATGACAGGAAAACAAGTGCATAGATACTTTAACTATCAATAGGACAAATTTAATTGCCAAATGCTATACTAATACAGAAAAAATTGAATACAGAAGTGCGAAAAGACCTGAAAGAGAAATATGCCATAACATGGTCTTTTCTAGTAAAATAATATTTCAAGACATTTACTGTTTACTTGTATCATCTGTGGACAACAGGAAACTTGGCAACATGTTGAAGCTCAAAAACCTCCTAAAATGTCTCCTAGAACCTACACAAAGCCTCTCCGCTATCACTGCCATACGTGTTGTAATTCTCTTGGGTGTGAAACCAAAGCTCAATTCCAAACTATGTAAACTGAGAAAACTAATTTAATTTCAACTAAAGTTAACATCTTCAGTTCTACCCTCAAAGCAAGGGTCAATAAAGGGCCTTTTAGTATATATTATTTGAAATACTACTCTCCCAGACACTATTTACTAAATAATTAGCATATAACCAACAATTCACTGTGTAAACTCTAAATACACTGTTTTGTAGCCCGATAATTTAGGAAAAGTGTTAAAGCCAATGGTACAGCATTGGAGAAATTAAGTGAGAGAAATTAAGTGAGAGGGAAATCTGGTAATGGCATTGAAACTAGGAGCACAAGTCTTTAACCAGGAATATGATAGGATAGTTAAGCTTGTTGCTTAGAAAAGAAAACTAACCAGGTTTTATATTATGTGGTAAAGTACTGGTATTTAGTCAAACAATTTAGTACATGAACGAGCAGTTAATAAAGAGTTACCTGCACAGTATTTAGATTTATAAATTAATAATAAATTTATACAAGGCTATTTTCATTCCCTCAAAAAGAGTTTAGTATTCCATAACATGACATCTTTAAAGAGTAACAACAAGTACAGCAATTAGCTTTTCTTGACAAGATGCAGATTCTTGAATAACTTCAATAGCAGCAGATGCAAAAACAATTAAGCCATATATTATAACATATCATTTTATATATTTAGTATCTAAACTGTTGTGCATAATTTTTTTTTTAAATCCAAACAAGCAAAGTTGTAGAGATATAAAAATGAAGAGCTAACTTGACTTGCTGCACCATTAATTATAAATATTAAGCATCTGAAGCTTTCAGTTCTATCAGAAGTCTTAGTTTTTCTACACCGAAAGACCCCAATGTTCAAAATACATTTTTCCAGGGAAGATTACCGCCGCCATATTCTAAATGAAGTCAGAAATAACGAAACAAAAAATGTTGCCGATTATCAAAGCAGTTACTGGAGCAAGAGTTAATCATGTCCACTCATAGTGGACCTGAGACCCTGTGTCAGTCATGATGGGGCACATACCAAGCCACCCACAGTCTGAGGTGATGAGACCTGTAGCCAAACACCTTAAGTGTAACACTTGGGGCTCTCATTAATAAGGAGCATAGTACTATGAAGTACAAGTATACTTGTTACAAGCATAACTAAAATAGACCGAGCCAAGTACATGAAATTAAAATAGAGACCCCCACAAGCTCCATGCATCCAAAAATGTCTTGTTCATGGCCCAACAGGCAATTATAGCACTGTGTACTTATACAGGATAGAACCCAACGGTTAGCCATGCACCCACATTGTTTGACACACTTGCCTCGTTCCGATGCTCCCCTCCATGTGCATGCTAAAAAATAAAAATATATATGGAGGTATGAATAACTAATCACTGTTGATTTGTCCATTCTGTGCTCGATAAATCATCATTCTTGGGACTAGTTAGACAAATGCAAAATAAATTAATCTACTTGCAAATTAAAAGTACCAAACACTGGGCCTAACAAGACAAAAGAAAACTATATATATAAAACTATAATTACATTTAAAATACAATTACACATGCATTCTCAAAAATGTACCTATGTAACAAAAAAAAGTATATACTGTACTACATTAGAAATAAAGATTTTATTTACAAATTGTGCAGCATGTAAAAATATCGTAAAATCTTAAGTAAAATATTCTTAGGTGGAAACTGAATGAAAGACTAAAAAAATGAAGACATAGCATATTGTGTAACAGTCACATTACCTTTTGCTTCTTGTCAAGTTTTAGTCGCTCTGTCTCCTGGGTCATTTCCTCCCGCCAAAGATTAAAGAAATATGAAGGATCAGTGTAGAACTTGAGGCCATCCTTCCCATCATCCCTAAAAGTGCACAAAAATAATAAAAATTACATAACGGAAATATCAGAAACAATTAAAAATAATTTAAATTTCTTCATCGAGTCGAACATTCAACGAGAAGACCACGAAAATGAGAGAGATGTGGAGCATTACTGAAAACATTTATACTAGAATAAATATGGACAATGAATTGTAAAAGTAATTTATTAGGAGATGTGAGATAAAACAAACAAAAAGTAAGAGGTGCGGAGCACACCAAAGAAATATATTTTGAGGAAACAGTAAATAGAGCGCTAACAGTACTTGCCTAACAATATCCAAAAAAAAACTAGATCTGGCTCTTAGGAACTGATTTCCTTAGTACTGGCACCTGGTGTTTTTCTCTCTCAATATTCTATTTCTTTATTGTACTTGCTCTTCCAGCTGTGAATGAAGTTGATATCCATAACTTCTCTTCACAGTGTATTCTGCTTGCTCACCACCTGCACTGCACATAGGTACTTTCTTACATTGCTAGATAACTTGTATTCCTTCTTCTACATCTTCCTTCTTTGGAGAACGACTGCTTCTGTCAACGTTGTCAATTTCCCTCATTTTCTTTAACGTTCTTTCCCTGAAGTTGTTGGAATGGTTATCCGTTACCTGTCTTCAGTGTTCAGTTCTTGAACTTCAGGCACTAGTCTTGTTCCAAACCTTTGAACCTTTTCAATCTTTTTCCCTTCACTTCACAAAGTGAAAATTTGAGGCACGAGGAGCAATGGTCAATAGAAACCCCCCATGTGGTTGGAAGCATTCTATGTCTACCATCTACGAGGTTAGGCACCCAGAAAGGTAGATGTCCCAAAACTGACTCCACCTGGTGAAAACTGCTACTGAAAACTGAACTATCAAGCAGAACTCCACAATCTGAAAACAAGCAAATAAGCATGACGTCACAATCGCCGCCGCGCCGCTGTCTGCACAGCTCCCCCCCTCCCCGGAGGGGGAAGGGGAAGCCCAAGACCCCTCACGCTGGCTACCCAACCCTAGTTCTGAGGCTGATAAAATCCAGCCCATCAACCGTGAAGAGCTCAGTCCCCCAGGGTACTGTGCTTGCTCCAGTACTTTTTCTCATCCTCATATCGGACATAGACCAGAACACAACCTATAGCACTGTATCATCCTTTGCAGATGACACTAGGATTTTCATGAGAGTTGGCAACATAGAGGACACGGCAAACCTCCAATCAGATGTTGATCAGGTCTTTCTATGGGCTACAGAAAATAATATGGTATTCAACGAGGATAAGTTTCAGCTCATGCGCTACGGAAAAATTGAAAACATAAAAACAGGAACCACGTACAAAACGCAGGCAAATCATAACATAGAACGAAAAGGCAATGTAAAGGACCTGGGTGTACTCATGTCGGAAGACCTTACCTTTAAAGAACACAATAAAGTAGCCGTCACAACTGCAAGAAAAATGACAGGTTGGATAACAAGAACTTTTCACACTAGAGATGCTATACCGATGATGATACTTTTCAAAACGCTTGTGCTATCTAGAGTGGAGTACTGCTGCACAATGACAGCCCCTTTCAAAGCTGGAGAAATTGCTGACCTAGAGAGCGTGCAGAGATCCTTTACTGCTAGAATCCACTCAGTAAAACATCTAAATTACTGGGACCGACTAAAGAGCCTAAATCTGTACTCCCTTGAGCGCAGGCGGGAGAGATACATAATAATTTACACGTGGAAAATAATTGAGGGGCTGGTCCCGAACCTGCACACAGAAATAACACCACATGAGACCAGAAGACATGGCAGGATGTGCAGAATACCCCCGTTGAAAAGCAGAGGTGCAACAGGTACTCTGAGAGAGAACTCTATCAACATCAGAGGCCCGAGACTGTTCAACACGCTTCCACTACACATAAGGGGCATAACTGGCAAACCCCTCACAGTGTTCAAGAGAGAACTGGATAAGCACCTCCAAAGGATACCTGATCAACCAGGCTGTGACTCATACGTCAGGCTGCGAGCAGCCGCGTCTAACAGCCTGGTTGATCAGTCCAGCAACCAGGAGGCCTGGTCGACGACCGGGCCGCGGGGACACTAAGCCCCGGAAGCACCTCAAGGTAGCCTCAAGGTGATATGTTGTGTGGTGGTCGTTCGACTCTGGCTCCTGTCTCTGAGCACGCTGTACCTTTCTGGTGTTGTTCTACTGTGTGGTGGTGTGCGAGCCATTGTTGTAAAGTACATTATTACATAAATAAAATAATCACAGAAACCTTAAAAATATCAATCATAACTACTGTACTTGTAAATAAATAACGACAATAATAATCTAACATACTGTACTGCAAATGTCATTTTACACATAAAAAATATGACTATGTACCTGTAAGGATTAAGCTGATGCAGAGGAGGCGGCTGCTCACAAGTCTGATAGGTTTCTAGCATTGGAGCAGAGATTGTATCCCGAGATACCACTTGTTGGTCGAACAATGTCGAGGACTTGAAGGCTTTCCGCATATGAATATCTTGTAATGACACTGTAAATGTATTAAGCATTACTACAGGTTAAGGAGATAATAAAAAAAACCTGACTGTATACAGAACCTTTGCCATATGACAAGGATTTCATGCATTTATTGCCTAAATTCACTGCATAAAATATAACTTTTCATGTCCTTATAGTTTTTAACTACAAATTAATGCAACCAATGCCCACTGCATTCTGGCTTGGAAAAACGTTTAAAAATATAAATATATTTGAACAAATATTTACCTTCTTCTACATTGCTATCTAAATTCTTGACTTTTACCGATAGTTTGTCAACTCTGCCTTGTAATGATACAGCACGATTCAAGATTAATGTCGATTCAGCAATCATTTCACCAAACAAATCTTCAGCATGCCGAGAAAGCGATGATAACTGAAAAATAGATTACCATGTTATCTAAATTCGGCACTTTTATTTGAAGCTTAGCATACTAAGATATACGGAACTTCAGTAATCTATATTTCAACTTATTCCAAATATTCTTAATTATCAGCAGTTTGAAGCAGTTAAATTATTACAGTGTTAAATAAAAGGTTGATCTGAATAACAAGTGAGCATACATATAATAATCCATGCTCAAAGAAATCACATTAAAGGGATGTGTCAATGAGAAAATCAGCGGGAGCTGTGAGGAGGATTCGAACCTATGTGCTCTGGGTACTCCCAAGCAAATATCTTAAAACAAAAACACCATGACATGGTCAAAAGCATTGCAACCTGGGGGAGGTTTCTTATAATAAACTACCATGAAATAAGTGAATGAAATCAACGCTCACAAAATGTTTTAAAGGAGAATGTCCTCTTACTTGAGTAATTAAATTAGCAAGCGTGAGGTTGGTAAATGCCTCTAGGTCTTGTGGTTGGTAAGTAGCTGGCAGAAGTGCAGGATATACTCGGCCATTTTCATCTGTGACCCATTCCTCCACAAGTGGCACCCGTGACACATGCACGGGTGACACCACCCGTTTTAGAAGAGGCATCTTCTCCTAGGTTTCGACCCTGTAAAGATTTGTCCATTGAAATTATCAAACAAATGCAAAGTGTAAAACATCAAACACCCAGACCACGATTTATTTCTGTTGCCTATAAATAAAAATAAAAACTGTACATTCTAAACGTTGCAAAATCATTCATTAAAGTGACACACTACATTTCCATACTGCAGAACTTAACCATATTTACTTAATTATTAAAAATCTACAAATACAGCTTATGTGAAATTCTAGTAAGTGGCACATTACATACATAGGATCTAAGATGTTCATTAACCCTTGGACAGCCGTTATCCTCAATTGTTGATTCACAGGGGTAATGCGGTTATCATATGAAGATTTAAAAAATTATTGTTTGGATTTTACGTGTATGATGCAAATATGAATATAACAGGTCTACTGTATGTGGATGTAATGGAGTTTACTTTGACTCACAAAAAAATATCCTGCTACCATTTCATTGTACAAATGCAGTTATTGTCATGAATATTACTAGGGAAACTTGGTCATTGTCATATGATGATTTAAACAATTACACTTAGGGTTTTAGTATACTGTACTGTATATCTATCTAGAAATAAGGTATAAGTATACTGTATCTATCTAGCTGGAACCGAGGATACTGCACTGTAACACAGTACATGAAATTTTACGAAGAACACTGTATATCTGGCCTTATGACGCATTGCGACACGGCTTTGACCGACTGCTGGAGTATGTTGGAGCGTGTTTATCTGTGATGTTATACAGGATTGTGATTCATGTAATTAATAAATATGTATTACTGTATTACCCCTTGTTTCTCTGAGCCTTACTAACCCATCAAAGTGGAAAATTGTGTAATGGTAATGGCTGAGTACTACATGCAATATATACTAAATTCAAATGACTACATTTTATAAAAAGCTATAAATTTATGGAAACTGGATCTACCAACAGCCATTCACTACTATTTTACAAATTAACTTATTTACAATATGTTGTCATCAGAGAACTTAAACCAAGACCTAAAGCATAAGCCATTTCACAGGGCTTACACAAAATCCATCAATTACCTATTGGTACAGCAGTGAATCTTGTGTGGCCAAACTCTTCTTGTTTGGCCGCCACTTTTATGCCTTGGTGGCATGCGCCTTATTTATGCTTCAAATGCCTACAACCAAATACCTCTTTTGACCTGATTGTACATTCTCTCTGAAAGGAAAGAAATCACAGGTTAAAAACTATTACAAATACTGTATATAATTTCCTTCTTAAGCCACACACAGTGTGCATTTGCAAACTATTATGTCCTATATAGGGTCATCATCAAATGTATAAAGTAATGATATGAGAGGGAGCCTGTTAAATGTGAGTGAGGCTCCCTTAGGCCTACTACTGACCTTTCCATGGATACAACCCACACAGTTGCCTAACTCCTGGGTACCTTTACTGCTAGGTTAGCAGAGACAACAGGTGAAAGAAAATATTGCCTAAAGGCTTCTGTCCTACTGTGGGAATTGAATCCAAGATCTTTCACTGTAACCGGAATTCACCGATTACTGTTCCATTCAGGATGCTATTCATCACATTTATGAGATGAATATCGAAGAATGCAGTGCCAATGAAGGGTCACCACCATTCTAAACACTTGAAGAACCACCAAAATCAAAATATGCCATCATGCTACCTGAGCTACAAGGGTACTAAATCACACGACACTGAAAAACACAATGGCACACCAGATATGGTCACAATACACAATATGGTACTGTATTGAGAGGTGTCAAGATGGATAGTAGTAACATATTGATACATGTGAGACCAGGATGAAAGAGGACAAATGACACCCGAATACCTAAACAATAGAAGAAAATATAAAGACGAATTTCATTAGAGTGAAGACTGGGCTTAAGGGAGGAGATACTGGAAGCAAATTCCATACAAATGGATATTCAAATGAAAATAATAATAAGATTCATGAGGTTTGGGGAGGAACCCAAAAGCTATAGCTTAATCTCTGTAAACACAGTTAAATGAACACAAGTACAATAACACAAGTACAGTACAAAAATGATTTCTTAGCTGCAGTGTTTACTGAAACGAAGAAATATTTCACCATTCTTAATATATCAAAAGACATTTGTAATCATTCTGAAAAGTTCCCTTTGATAATTGGAAGTGGGGAAAGCTATTTTAGAATACATTTTGAATGTAGTCAGTTGAGCCACGTGTAAAGTGCATGTCACTTAAATGTTGGAACTGCTGTTGACGAAACTAATTCCAACACTTTGTTCAGAGGACAGGCGGCAAACAGGACCATTGCTCACTAATAACTAAATTATAACTAAATGGCTTTTTTTGTGACCAGTTACAAAATTTCCCCCGTCAGTTTATACTCGCACCCTGACTAGACTTTGAAGCACAAATTTACAAATCAAATTCTTAAGCACAAATCCTGACACAAATTCAAAATACCCGAGTAGAATGCCAATTGTTAGGAATCTGGTGAATGTAGTTGAATGTCACAGCAAATGTTAAAGTAGCCACTAAAACAAACAGAACTGGCCCTTGATTCTGAAGTTTAAAATTTTGTTTAATGAACCTAATTACAACCACCATTACTAAACATATACAAAATTGTCCTTTGAAATGAAGGAATGATTATCACTATACATGACACAGAATTGTTTTCACAATACATCATATAGAACTGTATTTAATAGTATGTACTGTGTACTGTAATGGTATTTGAAAATAATACATTCTTTATATTAGTGCATGTCTAAATGTTTCTGAATTACTTCATATCTTTGCTGGCAGGATCATAAATACTGTTCAAAACTGCCTGTATTTCCATTTAAAACATCAACTTTATATTTTAGACACACAATTGCAGTGAAAATGGGCACATGAAAAATTAGTTGGAAGAATCACTATTGAAGAAGACTTGGACCAGCACAGCTGTCAAATCATGTGACTTTCAGCCATAGGATAAGATCTTGTGATGAAACAACTGTACAAGTTTAAGTCTTTTACAATAATGGCCATTCCTATAAATATACAATCATTCACGGTTATTTAAATTTAATATTCTTATTCTGCTTTCATGCAAGAAATAATGATATATGGCTGACCAATAAAGAGAAAGCATATAGACTCGCCATTATGAAATATTGAAATTATATTTAAGTTAACAGATGCTAGGAAATAAACCTAAACTATGTTACTGTATCTTCAATATCAATCAGTGTAAACATCCATACCAGATTTGAGCTTACTAGCAAACCAACGCGCACACACATATACACGCGCACACACACACACACACACAGCCTACTTCCTTTCCTAGTGGAAGTAGCAGCAAGACTGTGAGAGGAAGCACTCCCCTGCATCATAAAAGGGCAACCTGCCAACTCAGTTAATAACAGTTAAGGTATAATACTATACTTATTTCTCCATAATCAAATGTTTCTGCTAAGAATGCACCAGACATTAAAGCAATAATATTGCAAACTGTATAATTAGGCAAATTTCAACAGAAATTCCTTAAGATAATTGCTGGCATGGTTAGCTATGGCAACCAGGACCCTGGCAAGAGAGGGTAATCAGGATGTAAAGCCAGTCTCTCTGCCTCACTCCACCCCACCACTCACACTAAGAGTTGGGCCTCTTTTGTCAACCATTCATTCTACAGTATTTTCATCTTACTTCTATAATCACTATTTGCTTGCATGTATGTTTGGCATTAAATAAAGCAGTTAATTTTGATAATCAACCACGATAAAACAGAAAGTAGGGTGCAGTTCTTAGGACTAGTTATAATAAATTATTATTCTTGCACAAATAAGTAATCAATACAAGGTGCCAAAACACTAAATTGATTTGTATAAAGTTTCCTTTCGTTATTCCCAAGTCATGTTCAATGCCACATATGATTTAAGATATCCGTCTAGCCTACAAACTCAATTATTACTTCGACACTGTAACCTTACCTAGATGTCCTATTATTTGATCAATAATGATGAACAAGAACACAAACTTATATTTATATTGCCCACATTTGAAAACAAAATTTTGATCAAGCACAAATGTGTGATGAAGGGAAGTACTGTACTGACTTCCCCTACCACAGTACATCTCTTAATATTCTATGACCTGCAGGAGTTCCAAATAAATACAGTTTTCCCAGAAAGAGTGTATAACTGCTGGGTATAATGATATACATACATACATACCATACATTACCATCCATACATACATGCACACGGGTGGTACATACACAAGGGGGACAGGTGGAAACCGAGTACCCAAATGAGCCACAGGGACGTTGGAAAGAACTTTTCAATGTCAAAGTAGTTAACAGATGGTATGCATTAGGCAATGATGTGGTGGAGGCAGACTCCATACACAGTTTCAAATGTAGATATGATAAGAGTCCAGTAGGCTCAGGAATGTGTACACCAGTTGATTGACAGTTGCGAGGCAAGGCCAAAGAGCCAGTGCTCAACCCCCCGCAAGCACAACTAGGTGAGTACATCACACACACACACACACACGCACACACTATAAATTGCTCAATTAAAAAAGCAGCTTTATGTTTCTGCTTACACTTTATTTTTTAAGTTGATACTGTACAATGAAGCCTTTAACAAGACACACTGGAAATGTGATAGAAAAAAGGCAAAACCATAAAACATCTCAAGCTTACTTGGGATACAGTACCTAATAAATGCCTCGGTAGGACACTTGAGTACTGTTCTGTATTATTAATTGTCATTTTACAGTAACCTATCATAAAAAAAGATACAGTGTCTCCGGTAGGAAATCTGTCGAGATAAGCAGCCAGATAAAAGATGACGACATCACAGTCTTTTCCACTTCTACACCTGTCACTGTACCTACACAAGCAAAAAAAATAATTAAAAATTCTTGATACACGTTTTATTACTATAGTTAGATGATAATATTTTTGTTATGCTTCTCATTATTATAAAGCCTGGTCAGAATGGAACTTGTGGATGTTTTTCAAAACCCTTACTATAGAAAGGAAAGAGGACCCTTCCTGTCACTGCTAGCTAGCTCTGACTCTCTCTCATTAACCCGGCCTGTTCTTAAGGTTTCCTAACAAATGTACTGTATAAACAGCAATGACCTTGTTGTTATAGCAGAAAATAAAATCCAACTTTTCTTTAGGCTAATCAAATCCAAATTAATGATGATAAATATCTACTATACTTCTTCATTTTTTTTTTTTAAAACAGTAGGCTCACAGATCTTCACAGAGATGTGTTTCTTACAAACATGTGCAAAATCAAGCCATGTAGCATTTTTGTTGAAGATCTTAGAAAAATATGATCCACTCTACGACAGAATTTCACTGACAAAAAATTACATTGTAAACTTGTTATTAGAATTTGTTTAAGATTTGAAAACACAGTACAACAGGAAACAATCAGACTTACTCATAAAGGGAAAACACCATGTAAAAGATTTGGGAATTATGATATTTGACGACCTGACATTTAGTGAGCATAACCGAGCAAATATAGCGGCGGCCAGGAAATTGAAATCACTGGTGCTGTCCTGTCTGAAGTACTTCCCAATACTCACTTTCCCTGCCAGAGCAGGACAAATATCCAAATTAGAAGGAATACAAAGAACTTATACGGCTCACATAGAAACGATAAAAGACCTAAATTATTGGGACAGTCTCAAAGCTCTCAAACTCTACTCTCTAGAAAGGAGATAAGAAAGGTATCAAATAATATACACATGGAAGATACTAGAAGTCCAGCTCCCACATTTGCACAGTAGATTAACATACTGGAGGAAATGCAGAATAGAACCCATGAGTAGAGATGCCATAGGCACAATCGGAGAACTCTGATTGTATATATCAATGGTCCACGGCTGTTCAATATCCTTCCAGCAAGCATTAGAAATACAGTACTGCCAGAACAAGGGTGGATGTCATGAAGATACACTTTGATAAGTTCTTGCAAGACGTGCCGGACCAACCTGGATGTAATGGATATGTGGGCCTGTGGGCTGCTCGAAGCAACAGCCTGTTGGACCAAGTTACAAGTCGAGCCCGGTCCCAAGCCGAGCTCGGGGAGTAGAAGAACTCCTGAAACCCTCTCCAGGTATGTTCCAGGTAAATAAATGTAATACTTTTCAGATTAATATCAAGATTCACTAACACAATACTATACAATATCATTTATCTGGTGCAAAAATGTATCACTTCTCATTAGTTCTATTACAAGCAAACCTGATCCCTTTGAATAAAAGTCTTTATAGGTTGAGACAATGGAATTTAATTATATGCACTTACTGTGGCTTATAAAGAAAAAGTTAATTTACAATATTCAGTACTGTATATTACATTCTCGGTATCAATGGCTTGCAACAAAACAAAATCAACAATTGCTAAATGGAAATGTTTATAAATTTTTGCCTTACAAAGAAGCAGAGAAATGCCACAGCACAAAACTGGGAGTCTAATGTATTTGCTGATACAGTACAACTATCATTTTGTTCACTGTTATTTTTTTCTTAAATACAAGCTACAGGCAAAAATGCTTTTTTTTCCACTCATAATTCATTCCTCTTTTAACCATCACTTGAATTTAAAACAAAAAATTAAATAAAGACGGCAATCAGAACAATACAGTAATAAATATCCTACAATATGTTCACTTTGATTGCCTGCTTTGCACTCTCAACTTTTACAGAGTTTATTTTGAACATGCCAATAGTTTACTTTGAAATTTATCTGGAGAGGGTTCCAGGAGTTCTATTGTACTCCCCTAGTTCAGCCTGGGGCCAGACTCAACTTTGGTAACTTGGTCCAACAGGCTGTTGCTTGGAGCAGCCTGCAGCCTCACATATCCACTAAGACCTGGCTGGTCCGGCACTTCTTGCAGGAACTTGTCTAATTGCTTCTTGAAGAGGTTGGCCTTTGTTCCAGCAATATTTCTAATGCTTGCTGGGAGAGTACTGAACAGCCATGAACCTCTGATGTTTATAAAGTGCTCTCTGATTATGCCTGTGTCTATGAGGCTCTACTCACCATCTCTATTCTGCATTTCATTCCGTATCATTCACTCCAGTATATTGGAATTTTACTGTGAAAAAGCAATGGTGCAAGGACTATACTGTGGGGTACAGAGCTTTTCACTATGCTTGGACTTTCATTTTATTTGACTGTTACTCAGCATGCTGTGTTACAAAAAGTTAAGAATCAAGTGCCCTACTGTACTCATAACAGTACTGTACTCCTATTGATCTCATTTTATGGGTTATCACTCCATGGTCACTCTTATTAAATGCCTTTGCAGTCAGTGTACAGCTCTGAATTTATCTTTTCTTCTTATGATTCTGTGATTTTATCATAGTGATGAGTAATAAGGTCTACATCAACGTTGACCTAGGTTGCGAAGTTCATTGTTCTCCATAAAACTGGCAATTTCATTCCAAATCACTCTTTGAAAAATGTGTGTGTGAAGTTAGTGCAATTGGTCAATAGTTCTTAGCCAAGGCTTTGTTGTTGCCAAACTTTTGTCGTTACCCTTTTGTTGTTTTGTACTTTTGATGTTACCCTGTATTTTACTGTGCAAATTTCAGAGCCAACCTTAGCAGTTTTATTGTGTACTGATTACAAAACAGTCAAGACTGTTCTAAAAGGGATGCATTCCTTGAGAGTCATACATACAGTGGAGCCGGTGGCTGAGCGGACAGAACACTGGACACGTGATCCTGTGGTCCCGGGTTCGCTCCCGGGAGGAGAAACAATGAGGAGTTTCTTTCACCCGTGAAGCCCCTGTAACCTAGCAGTAAATAGGTACCTGGGAGTTAGTCAGCTGTCACAGGCTGCTTCCTGGGGGTGGAGGCCTGGTCGAGGACCGGGCCACGGGAACACTAAAGCCCCCAAATCATCTCAAGATAACCTCAAGAAGTCCATGACAAATCGAACAACTAGTATTTTGTTGAGGACTTTATGGGAAAGAGGGATTGCATTCAATGACAAAAACTATATTCCACTAGATATGGTTTGTTTACAGAGGAGGATTAAAAAAGGTACTCCAAAGTAAACACTGAGTACAAGATAGTTTTAATGGTACTGTATAAGTTGGAGTAACAAGTGAAACAAGCTGGTGTAATAAGTACAAGCAGATGTAATGGGTACAAGCTGGTGCAATGAGTACAACAACCTGATGCATTGAGTACAACAAGCTGATGCATTGAGTACAACAAGCTGATGCATTGAGTACAACAAGCTGGTGCATTGAGTACAACAAGCTGGTGCAATGAGTACAACAACCTGATGCATTGAGTACAACAAGCTGATGCATTGAGTACAACAAGCTGATGCATTGAGTACAACAAGCTGGTGCATTGAGTACAACAAGCTGGTGCAATGAGTACAACAACCTGATGCATTGAGTACAACAAGCTGATGCATTGAGTACAAGCTGATGCATTGAGTACAACAAGCTGATGCATTGAGTACAACAAGCTGATGCATTGAGTACAAGCTGATGCATTGAGTACAACAAGCTGATGCATTGAGTACAACAAGCTGGTGCATTGAGTACAACAAGCTGATGCATTGAGTACAACAAGCTGATGCATTGAGTACAACAAGCTGATGCATTGAGTACAACAAGCTGGTGCAATGAGTACAACAACCTGATGCATTGAGTACAACAAGCTGATGCATTGAGTACAACAAGCTGATGCATTGAGTACAACAAGCTGGTGCATTGAGTACAACAAGCTGGTGCAATGAGTACTACAAGCTGGTGCTTGAGTACAACAAGCTGGCATAACAAGAACAAGAAGCTGGCGTAACAAGAACAAGAAGCTGGCATAACAAGAACAAGAAGCTGGCGTAACAAGAACAAGAAGCTGGCGTAACAAGAACAAGAAGCTGGCGTAACAAGAACAAGAAGCTGGCGTAACAAGAACAAGAAGCTGGCGTAACAAGAACAAGAAGCTGGCGTAACAAGAACAAGAAGCTGGCGTAACAAGAAGCTGGTGTAATACGTACAAGAAGCTGGTGTTATACGTACAAGAAGCTGGTGTAATACGTACAAGAAGCTGGTGTTATACGTACAAGAAGCTGGTGTAATACGTACAAGAAGCTGGTGTTATACGTACAAGAAGCTGGTGTTATACGTACAAGAAGCTCGTGTTATACGTACAAGAAGCTGGTGTTATACGTACAAGAAGCTGGTGTAATACGTACAAGAAGCTGGTGTAATACGTACAAGAAGCTGGTGTAATACATACAAGAAGCTGGTGTTATACGTACAAGAAGCTGGTGTTATACGTACAAGAAGCTGGTGTTATACGTACAAGAAGCTGGTGTTATACGTACAAGAAGCTGGTGTTATACGTACAAGAAGCTGGTGTTATACGTACAAGAAGCTGGTGTTATACGTACAAGAAGCTGGTGTTATAAGTACAAGAAGCTGGTGTTATACGTACAAGAAGCTGGTGTTATACGTACAAGAAGCTGGTGTAATACGTACAAGAAGCTGGTGTAATACGTACAAGAAGCACATGCTGGCTTAATGTTGTTGCTGAAACTGAGGAATTTTACAGCATAGATCACTGTACTCATTGCACTCTATTTGTAAGGTAAGGTAGCTGAGCATCAACAACCTGTGAACAAAAATTCACTCTTACATTATAAAAACTTAAACCACAAAAATATAAGGACCTCTTCATATGAATACAGTACATATAAGAGTATGTGTCTGTCTTTGTTCAAAGTTGGAAGCCAGACAGCTAGCCTCACTCAAATTTTAAGGGAAATTGTATGGGGGTACAGGATGGACATAGGCTGGTCGGAGCAGGCCTAAGTTAAATGCCTTATGAAATGTTCCCAATTATAATCTCCACTAAGCCATTTTTCCATGGAGTCAATTATAGTCAAGTGTAAAATATGGCATATGATTAATGTGGAGTTATTACAAAAGAAACAATGAATTAAAGGACAAGGAGAGAAAAAGGAAAAGCAAAGCATCTGAGACCCATACATCTGTTTCAATGCTTCTTGGGGGTGATGCAGGGAGGATGGTGGTGGGGAGGATAAAGAGATAGAGGGGACACAGACAGACCTAGGCCCCTAGTATATACTTGTACATGATAAAAGATATTTAAAACAAACTGATGAAATATAAATTGGAAATTATTTTTGTGTGCATGATTATATATTCAAAACTGTGGTTACTGTTTATTTAAAATTGACAAAACTCTTCACTTGGGCCATACCGACCCCTATGGTTTGATCTTCCTCCAACCATTCTAGGGCTACAATCCTTCGCCCTTACAGCAGGTCCTTCGACAACAAAATATAAGGTGTTGAATGTATTAATTTTGTTATTTTATGTTTACAGATGGCAGTTGTGGTTTAGTTTTTGTAGTGGTGGCTGTGTTTGTAGCAGAGGCTGCGTTTGTAGCGGAGGCTGCGTTTGTAGCGGAGGCTGCGTTTGTAGTGGAGGCTGCGTTTGTAGCGGGTGCTACGCTTGTAGTGGGGGCTGCATTTATAGTGGAGGCTGCACTTGTAGCGGAGGCTGCGTTTGTAGCAGTGGCTGCGTTTGAAGTGGTGGCTGTGACTGAAGTACAGTATTGTTTGTTGTGGTAGTTGTGACTAAAGTGGTTGAATGGGTGGTTGTGGCTGAAGTTTAAGCTGTGGCTGAAGTGGAAGCTGTAGTCGAAGTGGAACTGTGGCTGAAGTGGAAGCTGTAGTCGAAGTGGAACTGTGGCTGAAGTGTTGGTTGTAGTGGTGGCTGTGGCTGTAGTGGTGGCTGTGGCTGAAGTGGTGGTTTACAGTGTTAGTTACCTACTTGATGGGGTTCTGGGAGTTGTTTTACTCCCCAAGTCCGGCCCCAGGCCAGGCTTGACTTGTGAGAGTTTGGTCTACCAGGCTGTTGCTTGGAGCGGCCCGCAGGCCCACATATTCACCACAGCCTGGTTGGTACGGCACTTCTTGAAGAAAACTATCTAGTTTTTTCTTGAAGATGTCCACAGTTGTTCCGGCAATATGCTGCGTTTGTAGCGGAGGCATCATTTGTGAGTCGTTTGTATTCATGGTACTTATTTGTTGTGGTGGTAGATATGGCCATAGTGGTGGCTGTAGTGGTGGCTGATGTGGCCATATTAGTGGCTGATGTGGCCATAGTAGTGGTTGATGTGGCCGTATTAGTGGTTGATGTGGCCGTAGTGGTGGGCATTGGTAGTGATGGGTGGTGGTAACGATGGTTATTGCTAAAGTGGAGATTGATTTTACTGGTCATTTTAGTAGATGCTACACAATTACAATGTCATTTTAATATCTTCAATTCTGATTATAGTAGTTTTATGGGTTGCAGTGGTGATTGTAGTATAGTAGTTACAAAAATTATGGACTTAGTGATAGCAGTGGTGGTTGAGGATACAGTGATTGCAGTTGTGGTTGTAACAGTGGTTGCAGTGCCCTTTCTTATCTCTAAAGATGGCAGAAATACAACCCAGAGTGCCATGTCATCCTTTAGTAACACGATAAAAGTATGAAAACTGCCTTGGAGAAAAATTGAATTCAAATATCAACAAGGTCTTTCAATGTGCAATGTTAACAATTTCCAATTAGTTCAATATAGAAAAAATTAAACCGTCAAAGAGATACACATTTAAAACAGTTACAGCTCACTTCAAAGAAAGTACTGATCATGTCAAAGACATGGAAATGTCAGATTCCTTAATGTTTAGAAAGCACAATACTATGCTGTAGGTAAACAGTAAAAAAAGCCCATAAAATGATAACTGTGGTTAACGAGAACATTAAAACAACAGAAATCTACTGGACTGGAGATGAGATATACTGTACCTCATAAAACACACAGGGTTCCAAAACTGGAACAATAAAGTTACAATATACTGGAGTGAGATATATGGTAGACGTGTAAAATTTATACAATGGAAAGTTTGGGGTGTCATAAACAATTAAGATTGAACAATACAAACATCAAAGGTCTACAACTCTTCAATCTCTCGAAAACAAACAAAATAAATGTCATTGCAACAACAGTGGAAGCTTTTAAGACGTAACTTAACATGTTTATGTTGCCATTAATGGATTAGCCTGGCTGTGATGGCTATGTGGACCTGCAGGATATGATGACAGCCTAACAGATAAGGCAATCACATGAGAAGACTGGCAACAAGCTAAGCATACCTGGCATTGTAATTTTATAGATAATTATTCAACACAAAGGTTGTTTCATATATATGCAGTAATATGGCTAAGAATAGGTTAGGTCTGATGAGCTGAATGAGAACCACATGAAGTATGAAGTGTCTTGTACATTTATTATATAATCAATGTACTGAATCTCAAAAGAAGCCTAATCTTACATTGGGCTGAGTTAAATAAACAAAACACAAAAAACATTTAATTAAATCTTGGACATCAAGTGTAGAGCTTCTAGTTGCATTCTGACAATGCTTCGTAGGTCAAATCTGACATTCTTTGTAAAACTGTGCCTTCCCTTAAGTATCCTATCAGAAATTGTAATAAACACAGGACTAATACACTTCTGTATAAAATTGTAACTTCATATATAGAGTAAAAAAAAGTTGTTGCACTAAACTTGAACCTTTTTGATAAAAATATAATTGCCTCATGTAACAGGAAATGTTGCAGTGAACTACTACTAGTGTACTCACCTTGATAAGAGTCTTTTCTATTGAATATGTTCAGAACAAATGATATTCAATACTTCAATAACTGGATCACTTAAGGAAAATGCATTAAGGTGATAAGTTTAAAGCTCATGGTTAGCTCTAATTACAAAATATAAAATTACAATTTTTACTAATGTATGTAATGTAATGTAATGAAAGGAATCTCTCTACAACTGCAAATTTCTATAAAACTTACTTCATAATGACTTTAGCTATAACCTGGTACATTAGCATTTAATGATTGAGAAACCAATTTTTTTTTCAATGCCAAAATATTAACTGATGAGAATGACAAGTTTCCAACACTTAGTAAAGAGTGGCAATAAGACCAGTACAACACTTGAAAGATGAATTATAACCCAATGAAAGAATTATTTATTTAAGTGTCTGTGACTACCACTCCCTACCCTTCTTCCTTTACAGAGTTATCATGTACTTATCACCTCCGGTACTTTCAGATTTTCCAACACGGCTCAAAAGTACCGAGCATCTCAATAGTTAAGCTGCTGAACCTTACGGACCATCAGCACCCTGAAAGGCCATATGTTAAAGTCCTGAGAAGAGCAGGAGGGGCACTAGGAGGATGAGTCATGGGTGGTTTATTGTTCCCCCGCGGAGGGAGGGGCGGCCATGGAAGGGGAGGGGGCGTGGGAAGGAAGGGGAGAGGGGCGTAGGAGGGAAGGGGGGAGGACCTCCACCCACCACAACAAAACACAATTCACTCTCCTTCACATTATTCTCCACACTTCTTTCACTTAAATCTTCCCCGGCATACAAGCACCTTCTTCGGCAAGCCAACTGCGCGAAATTTCACTCGGCATTCGGTCTATGGCCTTAATTAAGACGGTTTTCTTATTAAAATACACAGAAATGGCGTCTGTTTTCATTGACGCTCGAGTTTCTCGTATTCCAAGCTAAAATTTATTTCGTACGCGGCTATAAAATACACCGGGGATAAGATAGAATGGTTTACGCGTAATTTAGCTTTTACCGAAAATTATTACCATGTTGAGAATAATGTTTTAAGTAACACAATTGAAGGAAATGAGATAAACAATTCCCTAACCTGCCAAAACACAGGAGGGCGGAGAGCAACGTCCGCCTCCAACACCCACGACAACACCACCTCAAGATATAAACATACAAATTTATTCACTATTAAGATACATTTTTTGGTGAATTTTGCGTTCTTAAAATTTATTATTTTACAAATGGAAAGATTTTTGGTGATTTGTTATAACTTAGGTACTAGGAAAAGAGCTGCTGTACGACGTTGACTCGGCGTAAATAAACATGGCGTCGTTGCTAAACTTGCGGGATTATGGTAGTGACACTGACAGTGATTTAGGTGAAGTGGAGGATTACGTGCAACATCTAAAACCAATTGAAAGTGGGAACACAATATCTCAAGAATTACAGCTGGTTGTTTCACCTCCAGTAACGTCTACAGTAAGTTTGGAAGCATGAAATTTGGCTTAGCCTAGGCCTGTCTGTCAGCCTAAATATCGCCTGGAGGTCAGGTCTGGGAAATATATTCCTTTGAATAATCCTGTTTGCTAACAGATCCTAAACCCTAACCCAACTAAACCCACTAAAACATAGTTTATATAATTGGAAAGTCAGTTACGATAATTTTGTCTGAGGACAGGCAGCCAGTGTATATGTACATGTTAGGCTTATATTGAGGTCCCTCCAGGGTCAAACTACTGACCCTCCCCCAGGATGCAACCCCACAACAAGCTGGTCTATTTACTCCTGGGTTCCTATTTACTACTAGGTGAACAGTGGAATTAGGTGATAAGAAACACGCTCGACCATTTCTGTTCCGCCCGGAATTTGAACTTGGAACTACTAAATGTGAGACCAGAACAAACCCAACTGTATTACCATTACCCTCAGGTTATGTGTAATTGCCCATTTTATTTTGTTTATTTCAGGGCCTTGATAGGACAGTGGCTGTATGTTTGTTGATGGTCCCATGTTGGGGGAAAATTCAAAGCTTTGTGGTAAAAACTTCATTTGTACATCAAAAATAGTTTAATTTGTCCAGTTAACACATGGCATGGCAGATGCTTCGTGACACCTGACTTGTCCTGAGGAGGCAAGTGCTAATTGCCACTTCATTTGGAGGACTAACTGAAAGATTATCTAGCAAGTTTTCCAAGACAATTTAAACATCAGGCATTTTTTTTAACTCTGGGTATTCTAATTAATAAAATTACTAAACTCAAGTCTGTAGATGCAATACTTGTATAGATATCAACTAAAATATGTAGGTGCCTTGACATAAAGTGCTTCATAATGTTATTGTACATCCTGGTACTGGTATCCAAAAGGCAGTGCATATCACCCATTTGTGAAAAAAAATTTCATGTACAGTACTGTATACATATATGTCCATGTACTGTATACAGTGGAACCTCTATTAACGAGTTTAATCCGTTCTGGCACCGAGCTCGTTACCTGGAAAACTCGTCTTTGGAAACAAATTTCCCCATTTAAAATAAAGGAAATAAATTTTATCCGTTCCACTCCCAAAAACATCCATACTTGTATGACTTTTTTTTATGTAAATATAATACTGCACATGTAAATATAAATGTTTTGTTATAGTGTTTTAATATTTACTTTACCTTATGAAGAGTAGTTGCTGGCTTGAGGGAGACGATGGAGAGGTGGGAAGGAGGAGAGGGGTTATGGTGTGGAAGGAGAATCCACCTCTGAGTCAGGCGCTCTCTCTCTTCTTGGGAATTTCACCCAAATTTCATTTCAAATGTCACACAAGGATGCGTTAGACCAGCACCAAATAAAAAACTATGTTGATTATACTCGTTGTGTCAACAATATAATAGTCTTACCACGAAGATACAATACAATGCCGTTTTCTCAAATAGGCAATGTGGCTATTAAAGAAAACGGAAATTTCATGGCAAACATGTATACAATCCCCAAGTCGATCGAATAAGAATTGAATTTTAAAGAAATATTTGCTCAAATGACGCTTGAGCACAATGTTTGGGTGCATTCAAGATAAAAAAAGTGTGTTACGTTCAAGCGACATATACCTGCGAAAGTGATAACACTTTCATAAAGTGTTATCACAAAGTGATAAATTAATTAAACATTTTCACACACTGGGTTGTCACTGCTTTATCAGGGCAGCTTTTCCAAGAATGCGTTCATCTTTTCAAACATTCCAAACACTTCCCTGATCTCAGTGGAAGAGGCAGCATCCTCCCTTACCTCCTCATTCCCTTACTAATGGTGTAAATTGTTGATGAGGACCTGCCATACTTCCTTGTGAGATCAATCACACAGACACCACACTCATGCTTTGCTATAATTTCCTTCTTGAAAATCCATAATAATTGTCTTTCTTCCTCTTGAAAACACTATCTTTAGCAAGCAGCTTCTTTGGAGGCATCGTGTGTTACAAATTGTAGTCGCAAAACCACTAAAAACCCAAAGAAAAGCTCAAATAAATCCAGAGGGATGCTTGTCGTGTGAGATACAACAACAACACTGGCGTCGGAGGCGTCCGAGAATTTGCGAGAACCCGCGAGTTGGAAGCGCCATGTGGTTTCACTCGTTAATAGAGGCGAGCTCGTCAATAGAGACAAATTTGCTGCGAGTGGCTTGCTCGTTACTGGAAAAACTCGTTAATAGAGCCACTCGTTAATAGAGGTTCCACTGTATTATGTTTTATATTATACCTCCTGCCGTTTCAATACTGTTAGGCTCGATGCTCTCGTACATAGCTGCTTCAAAGATGTTTGACCCTATGGGGTCCAGAAACCAATTTAAATAAAAAAGTCAGGGTGCCATAAGCACCTGGAACCAGGGTGCCATAAGCACAGTTAAGAGAACAGTATAGACAATGTAAATGGTGGAGTCTTTCAGGTTTCTACTGGAGTTAATGGATCATCCAGCCTGTGATGGCTGTGTGGCGCTGCAGGCTACAGTTAGTCTCAAAACCCAGGCAATTGCCAGAGATTCCTGACCCCCAGGCCAGGCTGTATTATTAGAAACATTATCAAAATTGTCCACATGAACTATGTGCCATGTGTAATGTTTTGCAGTAGTGCTGATAAAGCAAGTAGCATATTGATATGATATAAATGCCTATACTGCTGAAACTATATAAAAAATTAATCTTTTATGCTAAATTTAACTGCAATGCTAGCACTGGTAGCCAGCCACCTAACACATCTCATAATTTAAGCCACCAACACATTTAAATTATCTTGTTAGACATTGCATTTATAGACTATTTTGTATTCCTTTGCAGCTATATTCACTGATAAATACTATATCTTTATACTTGGTATAATAAAACAGTTACAGTATACAATATTATTTATACTTTCCTTTGAAAATACAGTAGCAGAAAACAACATAAGCAGAATTGGAAAATTTAACAAATTATCTTTACAATCTTTAAGACCAAGCTATTCAGTAGCTCGGTCGATTGAGCTTCTGCCTCATATGCATCGGGGGTCCACAGTTCGAGTCTCCTAGAGCCCAGGTGAATGGAATGTTTATTTCCACGGATGTGTGAATGACAATTTACCTATTTTTGCTTCTTAATTGTTTGTTTTTATTAAATGCAGATGAACTGATTGGATTTTTGCTCTTTTGTATATACAGAGTTAATTCCTTTGTATACCTAGATTTTAGTATTTATACAAGAAAACTTTTACAAGATCTTTAGAGAGATATTTTGATTAAGAATTTTGAATTTTGTTACAGAAAGAGCTTGATGATCGCCGTCACATAGACCCACGAGAGAAAGAACTGACTTATAACCCCAAATATGAAGAGTTGTTTGCCCCAGTACCTGGTCCACAAAAGCCACAGTCCAAATACCATGAAATTGCTAGAAACACTTTAGCTGGTCATGTTGAACCTGCTCATTTTAATGAATTTGAGTTTGAATCACAAAGACGCACTTTCACAACATATGGTAAGTACAGTAATCTTAATGGCTGACTTGCTAGCAGAAGACATTATAAATTGATATACTGCACCAGTACTATACAGTGCTTTCATGATGTATAACATATTCAATAAAACCGTGGAATAACATACCATTATGAAATATATATTGCTGGGTATAACCCATTGTAAGTTGAGGAATTCTCATTTATTAGCATACATTTCAAAGCTAAATGACTCTTCTCAATAAAGGTAGTGTACTGCAATAGTGTTTCTGTGAAAGATATTCAATTTTCTTATATTTCACATGATTTATGTTTTCTGAGCAGGACCCCATCATCCCCTCCTCAGAGGCTTCCCCCAATCAATGCCAGTTTCCACCCAGGACACTGATCACTTGCTAGGCCCTCATTACCCAAGCACCCCACTGGTACAAGGAACTTTTCAAGTGGTGTTGCTGCATAGTTAGGGTAAAAGAGAAAGTGAAGAGCAAAGCTCATAATCACATTATCGAGAGATACTGCTTAATATGACAACAAAGAAATAAACAAATAAAATTAAAGTCCTGTACATTTGACAATCAACTAAATTTATTTATGATTTTTGTAAGAATCATCCACTGAATAAGAAGAAATTGGCATTGTAATGTTTATTCAGACAGTTTTCTATTAGAATCCTTTAATTTCAATATGTTTTGTACTATATTCCAAGAATTTCAGGTTCAGTATTTTGTAAATTTATTCTAAAGGGTTTTTATGCTATATATAAATGTACTACGGTACATACATTATCTTTAATACTTTATACAGTACCTGTATCAATAAAACTCTCAATCCAGACCTTAAACACTTTTTGTTTAATTAAAAATCTTAAGTAGATACTACATAAGAAACATTTATATCTTTGATGATCCACAAGTCCTACTCGACCAAAATTGAAATGCCATACAAATAAAGTATAGTTCTGTACATGTATCGTAAATTATGGGCTAGCCTCCCAAATGCAATAAAATGCAGTACCAACTTGAACTACTGTACAGTAATTTAATTAACATTTAAAAAAAAGTGCCTAATTGACATATTGTAGTTAATCTGAGTAATGTGTCTACCTTCAGAGCTTACATCCTAAATAACTAAAACATGTTGATGTTACTTTTACCAACATCTTTAAAACTAATTTTATATACTGTACTGTATAATAGTGATTATTATAATTTTTTGAATGAAAGTTCACCACCCAAAAATAATGTACCACCTTTAGTATTAATGTTAAATTCATTATGAAAATCCACTTTTAGTATTTAGTTTTAACCTAAGATTTATTTTGAATGCCCACTATAGATCTACATATAATCAATAGACAAGTGCAAAAGTGTGCTCTTTCATATCTTTATATATCACCTTTAAATTATTCTCCTAAGTACTTTTTATGAATATAATAAGTATATCTAATTTGTATTATGTTTACAAAGGTATGTACCAATTTAATTAGAGGGATGTTCCTGATGACATTTGTGGTAGCTCTTTTCAGTTCAAAGGATTGTCTTTGAAGATTATGCATTCCATTGCTCCCCAATTATAATAATTAGGGGTATAAGATTAATTGACCTAGATAATTAAATTCCCTTTTAAATTATTCTGCCGCTGAACACATTGCTCGGCAACATCATTGAGGCACAGACTCCATTTGTGGTAGCATTGTCCCCTTGAAAGTAGCTGTGGGATATTTCATCAATCTAAATGTCCATTGAAGAAGTCTAAAATCACTTAACAAAAACATTCAAAGTTCTGTCAAAGAATATGAGGTCAGTTAATAAATTTCATTATACAATATGATACACTACACACTGACCTCTTGATCATGTAATGGTGTTTTTTTTAATTTCATGCATTTTATTCACCAACCAAATGTGAATGTTTTGTCCATAAATATTAAAGCATACATCATCAGTAAAAAATGCAAGGTCTAGAATATCCTCTCCGCTGATGGTTAATTACTTCTGTACTGTGTTGCAATGTGGTACTTGAGTGTAGAGAAGCTTTTCTGATCCCTGTCGTTGCCCCACCATTGTAGGTACGCTTTCTCTACAAAACATTAGTTGCACCAAAAAAGCTCATGTCTTAAGTAACAATTTTTTTTCACACTAATCCCTGTTTCTTCCTAAACTTACTTTTAAAAAAATGTAACGACAGGTTTATGGGGTTTGTCAAGGCCAAGGTATACTGTGTCATTATGTAGGCTATTTTCAGCATTTGTTGTCCAGATTATATTAAGAATTTGGTAGTTTTATTGTAAGTAGTATAGGTGCACAGGTACTTCTGATTCACCCTGTATTATATTGACCGAAGGACAATTTCTGGCATCATGACAGTGAGGCTATCGGAACTAAAAATAATTCAATACTGTATTACTAATGTATATGGAACACATTTAGTATACTGTACCTCCTATCCCCACAAAAATGTGATGTTCCAATGGAAGATATTTATTATGTTATTGAATGAATAGTATATTTTAGAAAAGTTAATTGTATAATAATTGTTATTTATTTTCATAGGGTATGCTGTGGATCCTTCAATATCAGGAAATCCTGATGATGGAAGGAGATTTGTTGGAGATGTTTCTACAGCCCAGGAAACATCTGGACTGACAGTTTTTGAAACCAAACACAAGTCAGAACAACCTCCTAAGCGCAAACGTGACAAGAATGATGATGCAGCAGATATTGAAGGATTTAAGGGACCATGGGCCAAATTTAAAAATGAACAAACTGTGATGAAACCATCAGAAGAGGAGCAGCACGCACTGGATGAGATTTTGGCCAAACGACAAAAACGAGGTAAACAGACTGATGATAAGCCCATAGAAGAAAAATCTCTTTTGCACATAAAAGATGCATATGATTATCAGGGACGGTCATTTTTACATATTCCTCAAGATGTTGGAGTAAATTTGAAGTCGCCAGAACCACCCGAGAAGTGTTTTATGCCCAAGAAATTAATACATACATGGAAGGGTCATACGAAGGGAGTGTCTGCTATTCGATGGTTTCCAAGATCTGGTCATCTTATGCTTTCTTGTGCTATGGACACCAAGATTAAAATATGGGAAGTGTACAACAATCGGCGATGTATTAGAACCTATATGGGACACAAGCAGGCAGTGAGAGATGCATGTTTTGATAATGAAGGCAAGCAGTTTCTTTCAGCTGGCTATGACCGTTTCATTAAATTGTGGGACACCGAGACTGGGGACTGTGTCTCTCGGTTTACGAGTCGAAAAATTCCATATTGTGTCAAATTCCATCCTGATGAAGAAAAGCAAAATCTTTTTGTAGCTGGCACATCTGATAAAAAAATTGTTTGTTGGGATATTAGAACTGGTGAGATAGTTCAGGAATATGATCGTCATTTAGGAGCTGTAAATACTATTACATTCATTGATGAAAACAGAAGATTTGTCTCTACTTCTGATGATAAAAGTTTGCGAGTGTGGGAATGGGACATTCCTGTTGATTTTAAATACATTGCAGATCCCACAATGCATTCCATGCCAGCTGTCACTCTTTCTCCTAATAAAAAGTGGCTAGCTTGCCAAAGCATGGATAATAAAATTGTAATATTTTCAGCCTTAGACCGTTTTAAGATGAATCGTAAAAAAATCTTTACTGGCCACATGGTAGCAGGATATGCCTGTACACTTGATTTCTCGCCAGATATGTCGTATCTTGTGTCTGGTGATGCAGACGGAAAAGCTCATGTATGGGACTGGAAAACTACAAAGCTCTACCAGAAGTGGAAGGCTCATGATGATGTTTGCATTGGTATTCTGTGGCATCCCCATGAAACTAGTAAAATTGCAACAGCTGGTTGGGATGGCCTCATTAAATACTGGGATTAGCTAGCCTTTATATTTGTGATAGGGGATATTACAAATGATCATTTGCTTTTAATGTCATTTTATACAGTGAACCCTGAAAATGTTCAGGTTTAGATCAAGCCAGATTTGCTCAACGTGAGCTATGCACTCAGTACCATAAACTTAAAAACTTAAAGGGTTGGTTTGCTTGACACAAGCCAAGCATGAGGTGTGGTCTGTGCTGTGCATAGCTGCACATTGTGCTGCTCAAGTGATTTCATCCCACATCGCCTCCTAGTGTCAGTGCTCTCCCAAACAATGTACTTTGACCTTGTGATGCCTCACTATTTTTTTGCACTCATTGGATTAAATTATTACATCATAGTACCTACTAAGCCTTCCACACTTCATTATTTACGCTTTTGTGTGACTTTGAATTTTTGGAAATGTTTAGTACACATACTGTAATAATATTCAACTACTGTATGTGTTTTATTGAAGTCTCTGGAATGCATCCCAATTTTTCTCACATAATCTTAATTTCAATTGACATGCATTTGATCGGCTCTGGATTTTCCATTAACACATCCCTCATGCAAATGAACGGTTCACTGTAATGTATAATCTGAATTATTAAGTAAATTTTATATAATTTATTGCTCGTGTTACTTTCGTCAGTAAACTATAACTGTCCAACATGTATATCCATATTTGTGTGTGTATATTTACCTAATTGAAAGTACCTGTACTGGAAAGAGAGCTCATGCTCAGAGTGTCCTGTCTTCTTTTACAAATTTATACTTTAAACCTTTCTGTGAACTTAACGCACGCAACCTCCATTCTGCATTATATTTCAACTCCACCACTCTATTTACAAAGAAAATCTCCCAAATATTTTTCCTGTCTTCTTCATTAGCTCATATATGTGTACCTTCTTATTTTTGGCTTATTTCTTGAAGTCTGTTAGTAGCGAATATGTCTCCACTTATCCTTTCGCTTTCTAATTTTGGCATCTCCAGTGCCATTAGCTTTTCCTTATTGTTCAAGTGCCTGGCTTTTGGACCCCACGTTCCTGTGTTGCTGTGCTCTCTCAAGCTCATTTATTTGCTTGTTAAGATATGGATACTTTACTGCTGTTGCATGCTCTTAGCAAGTTTTATGTGTATTTTGGTTACTTCATAATATCTCCTTTTAGATATAAAAGGCTGTTATGAAATACTGTATGCCAGTTCATGTATATATACCTTTTCTAGGATTTCTGTAATAATGCTCTAGCTCCCTGGATAGATTTCTTTGAATATCCCACAATTTACTGTCCTCCCCAACTTCCACGTCTGTCTTTCCTTGGTACTTCCTCATCATCTTTTGTGCTTATTTTCTGGATACTTATCATTATTTTAAGTTGTTCCTTTCTGGCTCGGGATATTTTCCTAATTTTGATGCTGTATTTATTATTTACATGCTCTGAATATAATCACACATGTTACATTGAACTGTGTTCTGCAGCAGCTTAGTATTACTTGCAAGTCTTTTTTTTTCTATTTCTTTATTAATTAATGTTCTCTCTTTATTTTCTGCTGTTTGCTTTCTAAATTATACTTCTTTACTTATGGTATATATCATATGAGATACATTTATACTGTATATCTAATTTTCCCTGCTACTTAAAGTTTTAGTTTAATGTTTTCCAAGTTTATTGATTCTTGTCCAGCAGTTTATTTTGTTAAGCTTAAATGAATCTGATTTGCTTCCTTTTGTTTGTCTTGGATTTAATCCTGCCATGGAATCTTGGAATCACTTCTATCTTCATAATGAAGTCTCTAAACTCCTGTTTTTTTATATAGCCTCATCATTCAAGACCAATTATTCTTTCTCTGCTGGCTTATACTTTAGTGACTGGGATTGGTTCATGCCTCCAATAGTATACAGACTGCCCTAGAAAAGTAATTTGCTTCTCCACCATCAATTTCAGTGTTATAATCTTTTTTGTGCCTTTTATTCATCTTATTTCTGGGAAGGCCACTGCATAAGTCCCTGAACTTAATCATTATTTCCTCCAAGCCCTACCTTATAGCTCCAGGCCTCGTGAGACACTAGTGCTTACTGGAAGCCAGGGCCAGAATCTTGCTCGCCAGTCCTTTCAAATAGGTTTTTATCAGTTTCGGGTTGAACTCTGATTCCCAAGCTTCACTTGTAGAGCGAGCCAGATTCTGGCTCACTCTACAGTAGGCACAAATGGGTCTCAGAGTCCTGATACAGTGCCACATAAAAGACTGATACAGTGCCACATGAAAGCTTTTGATACAGTGCCACATGAAAGACTTGATTAAAAAGATAGAGGCTCATGGTATTGGCGGTGCTATATTAAGTTGGATTAGGGCATGGCTATACCAAAGGAAACAGAGTTAGTGTAAATGGGGTTAAGTCAGAGTGGGAAAATGTTGTAAGTGGAGTGCCTCAAGGCTCTGTCTTGGGACCTCTGTTGTTTATAATATATATAAATGATTTAGATTCTGGTTTGAGTAGCAACATTTGCAATTTTGCCGATGATACAAAAATTGGTAGGGAAATTAATACGGAAGAAGACTCGCTATCACTTCAAGTTGATCTAGAGTTTTGAAATGGTCAAAAGATTGGCAGATGCAGTTTAATGCTGATAAATGTAAAGTTCTGAGACTAGGTAATGATGATAGTTACAAGATACGAGCTAGATGGTGTTGAGATTGCGAAAGGGATCTGGGAGGTATGATTAGTGAAAATTTAAAAATCAAAGGTTCAATGCATAAACGTTCGTAATAAGGCAAATAGGATACTGGGATTTATTAATCGAAGCGTTAGTAACAAGACACCTGGTGTTGTTCTTCAGCTATATCATGCTCTGGTTAGGCCCCATTTAGATTGTGCAGTTCAGTTTTGGTCGCCGTACTATAGAATGGATATAAATTCACTTGAACGTGTCCAGCATAGGATGACAAAGTTAATTCCCCAAATTAGAAATCTTTCATATGAAGAAAGATACCAGAAAATGCCTTCAAGATGTTTGGAGATTGATGTCCTCTATAAGCTCCTGTGCCAGTTGAGTTGCTTCTGTTTTTTAGTAGTTGTACAGAGCTGCGTAATGATTGTCCTTTCTCATTCTTAGGGTGCATGTATTATGTCTTCCTTAGATTTTTCATTTGGTTCTTCCCTTTATGGCCATCTTACAAGCAATTACTGTATTACATAATATTTAGCACACTGTGTGTGTATAATATTATACACAGACAATATTAATGCAGTTTTCTCATATTTACTCCATATGCTGATTGCATGTTTCATATTGTTTTCATAATCATTTTTCAAAACTTTGAGGACTTTTTTTTCATACATGATGGATTATATATGTTGTACCAGCAAATAGGGACATCAGTGTTTTCTATAATGTAACATATCAATCTGGACATGATTCCTGCTATAATAAATTGTACAATCAACAGTTTAAGCATTGCGAAAAGATTTGACATAATCTGCATGTAATAAGCAGGCTTACCCACCCCTGTAGCTCCCTCTCACACACACCCCTGTAGCTCTCTCTCACACACACACCTGTAGTTCTCTCACTCGCTACTCAATATTTGACTTGCCCGAGAAAGATGTTACACATCTCGTTTTAAAAAGGGGGAGGTTCCAAGAGGCCGCAAGACATCGGACGTATAGAGATGTAGATCATTTTTCTTGTTCACTTCTTTTCATCATAACAGATGTATGTAAATTATGTGCCTATGTCCAGTTGAACATTTGGTGTTGACTTTTTTTGCGGGCGTTCATTGTTAATAATGTTAACTTTATAGTGTATGGAACATATATTATGAATTTCTTGTGTTGTATTTTATCAAAGTTTTCTACATGTCTAATTTGATAGTATGAATTGTGGTAGTATTGGTGAGATGGAAATGAAGGTCATATATTTGATGATGTAAGCACTTTCATTATATTTTATTATTAGACCTTTTAGGTTAATGTCAAAAACCACCTCTTGTTATTACAAATTATTTTGGGTGTAGTTACCCAAAAATGTACTTTTGGTCAACAACAATTAATAGGGCTGGGTATTTTGTTTTGTTTGTGTAGTTAATTTTGTTCTCAAAGTTATATTTTACATCTATAAGGAATTCATGGGTGAAGAGGACCAAAGTACGGGTCTCGGTTAATGACTGAACCACAATGCTCAGAAAAGTAAGGAGATGCTTAGGATGGGAAGGCAAGGTACCTTGGGAATCACCCAAGAGTCCCTTCACAGAATCTAGAAAATGAGTACCATAACACTGCCTTGACATATATGATCTAACCTACTGTAGTAATTGAGGAGAAATACATAGTAATAATCACTAGAGCACCAGGTGTAGACAGTGTTGTTGAACGTTCCTGAAAATAGTAGAAGTAAGGAAAATGCTACACTAAGGATTAATTATAACCTAAAGATTAGTTATATCCTCATTGTGGTGTGCTGCTCTAGCATGGGTTGTCAGAATAGCACCACCAAAAGGCTTGGTAGCATCAGGTTAGAGAATTTGCCAGCAATATTGGTAAATGTGCCCTAGATTACTACAACACATTCTGTATGCAGAGAAATAGCAATGGCATGATATATCACACCAATGTAATTTCTCTGTTTTCTGAAGAAGTGAATATAATGGAGAACATCCCACAGGCTACAGTGTAGGTGTGCTATTCATAAAAAACCTGGTTGTGGCACCATTTTGGGCATCTAGATTCGTGCAGTGAACTTTGTAGACTTCTGGGATGAATAGCTTTTGTCCTATTAGGGCCAAGTGGGTTAAGGCAAACATGTGAAAGTCACTAGAATCCTGGTTCAAATCCACTGCTCCATATGATTTTAACGTGCTAGTGTGTTGCTGAATGGAAATGTTGTTATGCATTCATGGCTCCATGTTTAACCCTTGTGACAATGGCTCTCAGCAATTGATGTTTTGCACTCCAGAAATTAATGAGAATTGGGTTTTGCTTTTAAATTCCTATAATTACCAAGATTTGAACATTTTCTGAATATTATTTCCTAATAAAGAGAAAAACCTTGTCATTATGTATACTGTATATAAACTTATTATTTTCTTCAGCCACCTAATGTTTCCCTTGAATTTTACAAGAAAAGAAACTTTAGAAACATCAGCTAACACACCATCGTAATATGTGGAACTATTATCAATATCAGAATTTACCTTGAAATTCTGTATCAAGAAAATATATAAAATTTGTTATAAATATTTTGTTCAAAGTTTTAACGCGTTTGGAAAGAAAACTTCATAAAATAAATTTTCAAATAATTTTACAGTTGCACACTCCAAGGGTTAAGAAGAGCATTAATAATTAAATCACTATTCTTCATTGGAGTTCAGCTTCCATAGAGGTAATAATTAATCCTAGTTAAAATTATTTACTATAATCTGTTAATCCTCAAATATCATGAAACGGTAACTTTAAAATAATTTAAAAGCATACCAGAATTACATATGCATTAAAGCTAATCTGTTCAGACAAACTGATCAGGACCACATCCACCAAGATGCCATGGGTAATTGATGTTAGAAATACTGTACTTTGTGATCACAAATGAGGCAGCAAAATGAATGTAACCATAATTTTCTTTCTTCAGGAA